TCCCATGTAATGCACAAGATATATGTGATTAATGTGAAATCATTTATGTTCTTGATAAGATTTAGAGAAATTTATGAAATACAATTATGTTGTTTTTGAAATGTAATGAATTTGACTTTGCCCGTTGATAAGATTAGAGTTGACGTTCCCCCCACACGTGGTCCAACTCTAATTTAAACCTATACAGACCCAATTGAAGCGGCCCAGCCCAATTCAAGGCCATGAAAGCCCATAACTACGCTCAAGAGGCCCAATACGTATAATGGAAATCAGCCCAAAATAATTTCCCTAAATTACAAATTATTTCTAAATTACATTTCACTTTCATTTATACATAACTCAACAAATTTTCAACCTCTATATATGTCGTTAAACTAACAAAAACTTCATATTTTTTTTGAGTTTGAGAGATTCCATGAAGAATATATGTTTTTAATTACTTGACATTTCTAGATGAAGATAGAACGGCCCCTACTCGTGATGCCCTACACACTTCATTGACGAATGCACCCCACCATCAAGCTCGAACACTGGCGCAAGGGCTCCCGAACCCATCGCTCCTAGAGTCCTTCCGTCCAAACGTTGACTTGGGTTGACTAGTCAAGGTACCAAAAGTTTAGAAATAAACTTGTAATTTAACTTAGATGAAAATATAGCATTCTTCTAAAGAATTCGAACGTAAAGAATGAAGAATCAATTCAATAAACACAAAAAAAACGCGTGCTCTTAAACATCATATACATCTCGAAAACATGTAGAAGTTCATCGGAGTAATAGATTGATGAGGGACATGGAAATGGAATATGATTACAAGCTACTTGATCATGGCAAGGGAGGGAAGAGAGGCTTAGGCACTGACAGTTTCATTCGTTGCTGTGGAGGTGTTACTGCTAACCCAAGATACAGACAGGGAGCTTGGAGAAGATCCATAGCCATTCTTCAGTAGCACGGCGTCGTCCTTAGCAGAAATGTCGGTATCGCGATCATTCCCTTTCTCGGCGTTCTGTTTCTGTATGATGTTCAGAGTGTCAAGAACTTCCATCATTGTTGGCCTCTCATCTTTCATGCTCTGTAGGCATCGAAATGCCAACTCAGCTACTCCGGTGATCATGTTTTGGATCTTGTAGTCCGTTTCGAAACCGAGTGAAGGGTCGACGAGTTCATTCAACGCGTGGCTTTGGATTTTTTTGATAGCCATGTTGAATAGATTGATCTCTTGTCTGTGCCTTGTGATGTCAACAGCAGGCATTGAGGATATGAGTTCAACTAGTACCACACCGAAGCTAAAGACATCGCTTTTATCAGAGAGTTGGTAACACTGATGGTACTCCGGATCGACATAGCCAGGAGTGCCTTGTGGAGCGGTTGAGACATGCGTGACATCGAGCGGGAAGAGACGGGACAAACCGAAATCGGCTACTTTAACACAAAAGTTGTTGTCAAGGAGAATGTTGTTGGTTTTGACATCACGGTGGATGATTTCAGAAGCATGGAGATACACCAAAGCACTTGCAGTCTCTATAGCAATCTTCATTCTTGTAGACCATGGAAGCTTTCCAGGCTTTGCTAGCTTTCCATGGAGATTATCGGCCACCGTGCCATTCGAGACGTATTCATACACAAGCAGAAGCTCACGGCTGTTCCGTGAGGTGCAACCGTAAAGCGAAACGAGGTTACGATGGCGCAGGCGGGCTAGGATCTCCACCTCATTCATGAACTGCTCAACTCTCCTGAAATTGCTTTCAAACAACCTTTTGACAGCAACGGCACGCCCATCTTTGAGTAAGCCTAAACAGATACATGAAAAGATCAATCAAACAATCACTAACTCATGATTGAACTCAAATAAAATCTCTTACCATAATAAACCGTGCCAAAGCCTCCATCTCCAAGCTCTTTATTGGAGTCAAAATGGTTGGTGGCTTCTTCAAGTTCTTTATAAGAGAAAAGATGAACGCCCAAGTATGAATCTCCCTTCTCAAGCTCTTCCACAGAATGGGGATTTGACGGATTCAAGGGAATGCTCCGTTGTGCATACGGTACGGCGGCGTGAGAACGTTTACGACGGAGCTGGCGTCGTCGGTAGCAGATGCATAGAACAATTATACACAAAAGCAAGGCTCCAAAGCCAATGCACGTACCTGGATGAATGAAAACAATGGAGTTTTTAATCATTTGTAGGAGAGGGAAATGTATGAACAGAGGAGTAAAAACAGAGCGGGTTCATGTGTTACCAATGATAATGTTGTTTCTCCTTGCGTTGCCATTTCCTGCAACATTAAACAAAGAGAAAACATTATACAAACATTGCCATCATATGTTCATCGGTTTCATCAGTTCATAATCGCCACAAAAAACGCATAAACAGATTGTTTTGAAATGTACAAAACCCACCACTTCGCTTACAATCGTTGCAGTTCCAATTCAGAACAAAACCCATTTTCAAAATGTCAACGTAACCCAATTTCCCCAAATCATCTCTAGCCATCGAGTTCTTGCGGATAGGAACAAGAATCATAGACTGGCAAGACTGCAAGCGAGATTTCTCCAACTCCACAAGACCCTTGTGGAAAATCGCAAAAGAGAAGTGGGTTTCATCGGAATTACAATTCAGTTCAAAGATGTAACCCCCAGGCTTTGATGGGCAATCATAAAAGAAGAACAAATCTTCAGTATCCGAAGTGAAATAAAAGGGTTTTCCATGGAGGCTAATATTATGCGAGGGGCATGAAGGTTGCTCGTAAGCTGCAGCACTGGCCAAAAGAAACGAATGGTTTTGGGGGAAAATGTTTTGGATGATAAAATCTTCATCGGAAATTTCAAGAACTGGGTACTGATATTCATTGCATTTGATTTTGAAATCCGGGTCTCCGCAGGAAGGTTCGTGCACGCCATCTATCCAAAAGGGGTAACTTATATTTGGACCATATCCACAGCTTTTAGGCGGACAGGGGTTGAGCTTATGATCCGGCACAGCTGAGGTCGAGAAGATGAATGTTAAGAAGCAAAACAGAGTTGGTTTGAAGAGGATTTGGAGCTTGGATGCCATGGGAGGAAGGTGAGAAGAACGAAGAAGAGGAAAATTGTATAGAGAAATGGGAATGAGAGGGAAGAAAACACATTGCTATCGAAGAAATTTCTCAAAAGAGTTTGTTGGGCAATCTTTGAAATTGTTCTTGAATCCAATGCATTTGTCAAACAGAGTGGATATTAAAAATAAAAAACAAAAACTTGTGGGAAACTCCACCAGTTCTTCAACAAACACGATCAAAGGGCTGAATAAGATGGGGTGATCGAGTGGAAGAGCTTTTTTGACAAACAAGAGAAATGGACAAGACAGGGACAAAATTGTGATTGTCAGTGTAGATTGCCATGGTTTTCAAGTGGGAAGGTTTGATTAGTTGAAGCAGAGAGGAAGAGGTCAGGTACACACAAGTCTTTAATTATACATAATTACCTACTCTGTCCCCCACTAGCTATTTTTCTACATTTTTATTTTTATTTTTATTTTTATTTTTATTTTTATACTGATCCAACCAAGTATTACCTTCCCTCGCAGTTTAATCCTCTATATATAGAAAGAATTGTAGAGGTCAAACTTTGACTGGGTCAACGCAACAAGAAAAGCACTACCAAAATGAGCTACCTTTTTTGTGTACGAAATTTGACTCACCAAATTTCACAGTTCCACACGCGCTGTTCATACAAGAGTTTTGACTTCTTCCAAGCCACGTGGCCAAAGTTTCAAAAAACTAAAAAGAAGATAAAACTGGGCAATGAAAAGTTCCGGCGGAGAGATGTCTTACCAGACGCAGGCGGAGAGGGATGAACACACGATGGCGTCGAGTAGGGCTCTCGGCATTCGTCATTGCTATCGTGTTCGCCGAGACACGGCGGAAATAGGAGGAGGAAGGCGGCGGCGATGGTGAAAAGTGCGGTGGCGGTCTGAAAGTGAGTCGGCAGGAGAAAGATCTTCATTTCTTAGTTTAGGAGCTGTGAAAGAGAGAAGAGAACAGAGCAGAGGGTATTTAGAGAGAGAGAGACAGACGGTGAAGCTTCGTGTCTATGGCGGCCAAAGGCTACGACTAGGAAGACGCGGGAAATAGTCTTCGGATCGCTCCACGAAATTCATGCGTTATTGGACTATGTTTCCATTCGGACTTTATTAATGCTAGGCCCAAATTTTGGATGCAGTCCGGCCCAATTGGAAGCGGGAAAGGATGTGATTGATGGGCCAATGAAAGCAACGGCCCAATGGGAATTTTGGATGCAGTCCGGCCCAATATGTGCAGCGTCCAGCCCAGTGGGAAGCGGGTGAGGATGTGATTGATGGGCCAACGAGAGCAACGGGGAATGGTGGTAAAGTAGGTAGCGACCGAAGAATATGCAATAAATTGGATGATGCTCAACGAAACGAGGAAAATAAAATAATAATAATAATGTCCCATCTCCAATCACAGGTATTATTGGGCCCACTCCTTTTCCATATTGGGCCTCCGATTCCATTTCTAATCACTTTATGGGCCCCCACTTGATTTTGACTCTTCCATCTCATCATCTCACACACCATTATTCCAACCCTTCCATCTAAAGAACTCATTACATTATTTATTATTTAATTTTAACAACACCCGAAAATCAAAATTCAGACTTGTTTTCATCATGAAATTGCTTACGTGGCTTGATGATAGTGCTAAAGTGAATGCTGACTGGGCTTAAAATATTATCCAAGTAGATTTTTAAAAAACTGAAATTTTCTGGACAACTTACACGTGTCTCACCGCTTGTGGATTCCACGTGTCCGAAAATTACGTCCTTACCCCAAAATTATTCATTAATTTCGAAATTGGCCCAAGGAGGTAAAATTTCTAAGAAAAGGACCCACAGAGTTTTATATAATTAAATAAACAGAATTTCTTAATTTTTGGTATATCATTATTATGTCATCTTCTTCTTGTATGACACACTCTCTGCTTCAAGCTTCAAGCTTCTTCCTCTCTCTCTGTCTCTCTGTCTCTGTCTCTCTGTCTCTCTCTCTCTCTCTCTCTCTCTCTCTCTCTCTCTCTCTTTCTGCACTTTCCTTCTCCCCTGGTTTCTTAATTCACACAAAACGCATTTGAGTCATTCATTGCGTGCATTATTCTAATCTTTCCCACAGAGTTTTTGAATCGATTTTCATTTCTCTTTTGGTTTTGCGAACATCGAATTCAGTGTTCTCAAGACAAGATTTCGAATCTTTTTTGTATTTTTATTTGCAAGAACAAAGCAGAGTTTAAAGAATCTGAATCTCTTTTTCTTTTAAACTACATTTCATCGCTGTTGTTCTACTTGGGGGAACTTCAAAGAATTCCATACTTTCTTTTTCTTTTCGTCTTTTTGTATTCAAAATTCTTATTTCCAATAAAAAGGTACACAACTTTGGGGGCTCCCCATTATAATCTCTCTGTAATTTCCTCTGTTTAGATATACAAAATGTTGGGAACTGCGTTGCAGTTTGGGGGAATCAAAGGTGAAGATCGGTTTTATATTCCGGTTAGGGCACGGAAGAACTATAATCAGCAAAACCCATCAAGGAGAGCTACCAAGACCGATGAAACTGAGACCCCATCCACTAAACTTGTGGCTTCTACTATAAACACTTCTAACCCATTAATTTTTCAGCCTAAAAGCAACTTGGAGAGATTCTTGGATGCCACAAGGCCTTCAGTTCCTGCGCAGTTCTTCTCTGAGGTGAATGTTTGAATCAAAGGAAGTTTATTACGTAATGGGTTGCTCATAAATTTTGAGTTAATATCCAAATTAGGATCATACCCTTAATTTGGTTTCTTTTAGCCCTTTAATGGGTTGCTCATGTTTTTGTCTTTTTCAGACAAGTATGAGGGGTTGGTTGCCTCGTGGTTTTGGTTTTCAACCTTATTTCATTCTGAATGATCTGTGGGAGTCTTTCAAGGAGTGGAGTGCTTACGGTGCAGGAGTTCCTTTAGTACTTAATGGAGGTGACTCCGTTGTTCAATACTATGTTCCATATTTGTCTGGTATCCAAATATATGGCCAACCTGCTCCAATTGGATCAGATTCTAAGTCCAGGTACTTGAATTCTTCTGCTTGAAATCAACAGTATAAGAGATCATGAATTAATGGTTCTTTATATTGGTAGGGTGGGTAGTGAGGACAGTGATCTTGACTCTTCTAGAGATACAAGCAGCGATGGAAGCACTGAATATGAATTTGGAAACAGCTGCAACTTTACTAAAGAACAGTGGGTTCATCACCGTTTAGCTTGTGAAAACACACTTAAAATGAGAAAGACATCTTTAAGTGATGAACATAGCATGATAAAAGAAGGGGTTTCAAGTGATGATCCTCGGAGTGTCTTGCTGTTTCAGTTTCTTGAGCTAGATCCTCCTTATCAACGTGTACCACTGGCTGATAAGGTTAGCTAGCTGGTTTATTATTAGTTCATTTGGTTGTATTTTGAGAGCCGTAATAGTTTACTGGTATTGTTTGTGTTATGACAGATAATTGATCTTGCCTATCAATATCCTGGTCTGAAAACTCTAAGAAGTTGTGATATACAGGCAGCCAGTTGGGTCTCTGTAGCTTGGTAATTATCTGCTGAATCCATGTTATTAATGGCTTTCTAGAACATGCTGTTCATTTCATCCGCTGGAATTGTAGGTACCCGATATACCGTATACCCACTGGTCCGACATTAAAAGATTTGGATGCTTGCTTTTTGACATATCATTCCCTTTCCACACCCATTAGAGGTAATATGGCACTTCTTAGTTTCTTCTGGTTTGGCCTGTAGTTTTCTCAGTAATCTTCAAGATGCATGCTTTCTAAGCTCCCTACATTGGTTGGAGAGGGGAACGAAACATTTTTTACGAGAGCGTAGAAACCTCTCCCTAGTATATGCATCTTAAAATTGTGAGGTTGCTGGCGATACGTAACGGGTCAAAGTAGACAATATCTGCTAGCGGTGGGCTTGAGTTGTTATAAATGGTATCAGAGCAAGATACTGGGTGGTGTGCCAGCGAGGACGCTGGGCCCTACGGGGGTTGGATTGAATGAAAAGTTCTTTATAAGGGTGTGAAAACATCTCCCTAGTAGATGCGTTTTAAAACCGTGAGGCTGACGGGGATATGTAACAGGCCAAAGCGGACAAATATCTTCTAGTGGTGGGTTTGGGCTGTTACAAATGGTATCAGAGCCAGACACCGGACGGTATACCAACGAAGACGTTGGGCCTCCCAAGGGGGGTGGATTATGAGATCCCACATTGGGTGGAGAGAGGAATGAAACATTTCTTATAAGGGCGTGGAAATCTTTCCCTAGTATACGCGTTTTAAAAACCGTGAGGCTGACAGTGATACGTAACGTGCCAAAGCGGACAATATCTGCTAGCGGTGGATTTATGATGTTACATCTATTCACTTGTTTTGTCGACTGAATAAACATATTAACTTCTACTGAGCCTACCTATAGATGAATTAGAACAAGCAATCATAGCCAGAGTTCTTCCAACATCTCATACTCATAAGTGTTGTTATCGTTAAAAGTGTAAAATCAAACATTAAATTGACATGTTTTCGAGGTGATTTAGAGCATGAAAAAAGTGATTCTAGCCCCTACAAAATCACTAGATTGTTTGTTTGGCTTGTTCTCTGCAAGTGGTGATCGTTCTATTTGCTTCACAGGGAATGTGCATGGCCAGGCACTGATATATTCAAATGACGTTGATGGTACCCCAAAGATGTCCTTGCCTGTTTTTGGAATGGCTTCTTACAAGCTCAAAGGCTCAATTTGGGCGCAAAATGGTGTCAACGAGCATCAAATGGCAAGCTCCCTGATGCAGGCAGCAGACAAATGGCTGAAGCACCTTCAGGTCAATCAACCCGATTTTCAGTTCTTTGCATCACATGGGACATACTGGAGATGACAAGAGATGACTCAAAAGATGTCTCTACTTCCACACCGTCCAGTCAAAACTACCAAAAGAACGAATCCGTGCCTTTATCGACGACCAGACCTGCACTCAATACCAGTAGTGCTACATTTTGATTTTGGCTGGTTTGTTCTTCCTGGGAATACATTTCATAGAGGCAGTTAACAAAAAAGAAGAAAAAAAACATGTCTGAAATGGAGGAATAGCAGCAGAACAGACAGAGTTCATGTGAAGTAGAATTTGAAGGGCAAAAGCGATGTGGGAACTTGTGGCAATCAAATACAAGGTTTGTCTATCATTTTACATTTTGTCCTGGAAACTTGTGAGAAGTCACTCTCTTTTTTAGTCTTCTTGTCCAAGTTTATGTCAAGAAGCACAATTTGTGTGCATATTACGTATGTTTTGATGTGAACTGTCTTCAAACAAGTATAGATGAACAAGATTAGACAGAATTCTGGATGTTATCTTTATAGCATTTTATAGATGAGATATATGGAATCATATTCCTCAACCAATATTGGTTGAAATTGCAGTGGAAATGGAGGAATCACAGTGCCCTTTTTTATCCCTTGATGTGAAACCTTCTGGGAATGGTATTCTATTGAAAAAGAAGGTTTCTCTGAACTAATAGAGTTTTTCTTCGACTTCATATCATCATATCTTTTGACCTTTGTGTGATTATAAATAAATCATATTAGGTTAAAGTAGAATTAGTGCAACTAATGTTAAATCCATTATGGTAAAGGTTGCTGTGGAGCATTAATGGCACTCACTAATTTAATTTAAATACTAATATGATCGTAACCACCATTACTCGAACTTTATCTATGCTACAAAGTACCTCGGGCTTCAGACTATTAGATCATAGGTTCAAATATTAATGATCACGAGCACGAAAAAAAACTCGAACTTCATCAAGTACTCATTTGCTACCATATACCTTGGACTTTATCAATCATGCCATGTTCATAGTTTGCATCAATCTTACTCACGAATCATGAAATGTGGGAATATATGCTTCCACTTTAACTTACCTAGAATTTCAAGAAATGTGGTGAAAAACATAAATAGTTGGAAATATAAACAAAGTCTATGGAGAAAAAAAGGTGGGAATCATGAATCGTCCATATAAATATAGTACCAACTCGAAGTTCCCATTATTATTGAACAGCACAGAGAACACAACACAACAAAACACAGTTACAAAAGGTAGCCATACTGATATGAAAAACCACTGCAACACATAGACGACACAAGACGATCACATATCAATACACACACGTACTTAAATCAAAACGGCCTGTGAATAATTTTTCAGCAAGTGGGAAAAGGGGTTCCACAGTCATTGGCGACTTTCCTGGCATTTGGAGAGTCCACAAAGTTCCTGAGAGAAGGGTTCTTGAGGTAATCACAGAGGCAAGGCTTCTGCTCCTTGATCTTGGCACAGCACAGCTTGGAGGGCGGCGTTGATGATATGATGGCGCTAATACAAGGGCTCATTTGCATTGGGTTGCATGTCACGGCTTCCACCATTGCCATTTCATTCGACTCTGACATCAAAATAACTGCTATTATTGTCAATATGGCTACCCATGAGGCCTTCATTGTTTTGTTCTTGAGTTGGGGAAATGAAAAAACGAGAGAGATGGATGATTTGGGTGCTTGTGGCTTGGTTTGGCTGTTGGATGTCAATTTATAGGGGGGAAATTGGAGAGAGAGTTAGAGAAATGTTCTATTGTTAATTGATGCTAATTGATGGAGATGATCTAGAAGGGAAAAGTTGTATGGCTAGATCTCATCATGGGTTTAAACCTTTTTCTAGTTCAACAACTTATGGATGGAGAGAACATTATTAGATGTAATACCATGGTAATTGCAAATGCTATGTCTAATTTTTAATAGCCAGGTGGAACTCATGATTGATTGGCACCTAAAATTCCATTAATATGTGGCTATAGAAACAAGTGGTGTGTAATATAATGGTTGAGCCACACACATCATTTTGAGCAATAACCCATGAGTTCTACTTTAATCATCATCACCCATTTGGAACATTATGGAGAGAAAGGCAAGGAAATCACTCTATCCTATTCTTTAAGGAAATAATAACTCCAACTTCTCAGCTTTTGATTTCAATTATATGGGGGAAGAAAAGGATGTAGGAGTGGTGGATATCATTATGTGGCCTTCCAAGATTAAAATGGACACACCTTTTGAAACCTCATGCTCATGCATAGTCTTTGAGCATGCCTTTCAATCCATTTTAGTTCAACTATTTATACAAGTTAGGGATCTTGTTTTAGAGAGAGAAGAAATCATGTTCATCTCGACTCAAAGGTTTATGGATGGTGGAGGTCGTATTTGCAATTGATACACTAATTTTTTTGAGGTCCTCCAAATAAAATAAACATCGTTTCATTTCTAATAAATCCTTGTTTGCTATATATCAAAATTGACGTGGGAGTTAGAACAACCCATTTGTTTAGGAGATTTAATAAGCTATTCAAATTACAGGGAAGAACTCTCTTAGTACAACAAATATAGATTTGAACCTTTTTAGCACAACAAATGAGAAAGTTTGTCGATTTCAACCTTAGACATAAAGGGAAAGACTACGTAGCAATGCAACTAAACTATACTCATTTTAGGCAACTATAGAGATGAGTTAGATACTAAATAGGCTTGTTCATGTGAGTTGGATACTAAATAGGCCTGTTTATATATATTAGTTTGAGTTTGACGTGGTTACTTTTGATCAATACTATATGTTTTAACCAATTGGATTACGTTCAAATTTGCAAAATCAACCGTAGAAACAAAATTTACATCCATCAAGTATGAGCACTGATAAACATTCATGAAACGTATTACAGAATTCGCCCATATTTATCAATACAAGGTTCAAACTTTCACTAACCAGGTTTGCCCAGAAATTTGCACTCTGAAAGACTTCGGCTCGGGGGAAATCATGAAGCGAAAGTTCCGTTAATTTAGACGATTCAACTGAAAATAATCATCGTCTACAAAAATCACACACACACTCATCTGTATCAGTCTAGAGTAAAGGGGTAGTTAATCATCTGTATCAGTCTAGAGTAAAGGGGTAGTTAATATAAACAATTATATAATCAAACAAGGTTCATGTAACATTGTAGTTTATAAGCTCATATCCGCATCTTCAAGGAGACTATAAAGTTTACCAAGCAAGGTTATCCCAGTGAAGGAAACCACCATGGCCTCTGGCATTTGTGAACTTGTAGACAGCACCAGAAACTACTTGCAAAAGTTCATTATAATTAGATCAGCATTACCAAACTACTTCCAAGTTAACCAAAGTTCAAGATTGGGCTGAGAGTACCTTCATAACCCCCATGAACTGGATCTTCTGACAATAAAAGTGGTGTATCTAAGTCGATGTATCTGCATTTGGTCAAGAAACAATCGCTAAACAAGCATGCTAAATAACCAATCTAAGAATAGCTCAACAAATCAAGACGTATACCCTCGACTAAGAGTAAACTCAAAATAAATAAAGTATGCGTACTTGAAACACCCGAGACCAGCAGCAAGATGACCGGAAAAGCCCATGGCAAGTCGAGTCTCTATCATACCACCAATCATTAAACTCAATCCAGCAGCCCTTGCTACTTCAATAATTTCAATTGCCCCCAAAACTCCAACTTTGGCAAGCTTTATATTTATAACATCTGCAAGATCCTCTTCCACTATTCTCTTAACATCACTTAAACTCCGGCAGCTCTCATCAGCTGCAACAGATACCCCGTATTTATCTCTAGCGATACGACTAACAATTCCGAGACCCTCCCAGTTGTCTCTATGAACTGGTTGTTCAAACAGAGTCGGAGTCACCCCCAATTCTGTATGAGTAATAATCCAACTTTAGGGAAACCATACATGGAATAGCACAAAATCAAATTACACAAGTACTCATCCGTTACCATGTAACTTATCAAGAACTTGAATAGCTTCCTCAGTGTCATATCCCTCATTGGCATCCAGGATGAATTCGCAATCAGAATGAACCGTTCTGATGCGCTGCAGAACTTCTATATCAGCTCTTAGATCCTTTCCTACCTTCAACTTCAACGTCTTGAATCCTTGATCTCGATATTTCGCAGCTAATTTGGCAGCATTAGAAGCAGAAGTAATAGGAATCTGCATATATAACATGGTTGAAAGTATTTCTGTGACAAATTTCTTTTGGTTTCCTCCTCACTGATTTAAACAGGATTTTTCTTTATCCACATATGTACTAGGTTCATTTGGGACATGATCAAAAATAAAATCTCCAGAAATATTGAATGAGATTCACAGTAACAAAGGAACAAAATGAAATGGCTGAAATTCCGAACATGTCTTGACTGCAAGATAAAGGAAACTTACTGTTATGTCGGTGGTTATACTGTTTGAAACTCCACCAAACAATCTCCATAGAGGTATATTAATGCTGTTGGCAACTGCATCAATCAATGCCATCTCAACTCCTGCTCTAACCTTTAATCAATACAGTGATTAAACAAACATGGATTCAGAAACTCAGCCATGGAACAATTCTTCATTCATAGTCCTATCAATTTGAGTAACGAAAAAATAAAAATGAAGTCAAAAGCCAAAATCCAATGTGTTAATTGTTTACTCACAGAAGCAAATTCATGGCCAGGAAGAGTCTCGCCGATCTGCATCATCGCTGAGCCCAAATTACACGGTGGTCTCTGCTGCAATAGTTCACCAACCTCCCCTGCCTTCGTTATCGCGGTAGGCTGATCCTCCGCAGTGACAAAAGGCAAAATCGGCGCCTCACCCCATCCGACGCACCCATTACTCAACTCGATCCTTATCGCTACGTTCTCCACCATTTCAAGCCTCGAAGACGCAATAGTAAACGGCTCAAACAATGGAACATTCAGTGCCCTACTTTCTGCTCTCTGCACATTCACCGTGAACGTTTCCATCAAATTCTTGAACCCGAAGCTCATACCTGACTCGAACGGTACTGTCGCCGCCTTCATTTTCACACACAACCGCGAAATGGGTATCGATGATTTCTCCTTCCGGTTGCTTCGAAAGTCGAATAATGGACAGTATCTGGACGCAGTATCGGATTCCAATGGCATAAAGAACCCAGTGGAACTCATGAGAGTGTTCTGAAGGGGATTTGAATGGTGAATTTGGAGACTTTGATAGCCGTCGCTGTTCAACGACTGGATCGCGACGGAGTAAGCAACGAACCGGCTTTCTCATTGTCGCTTATGGGCAAACAAATCGCAGTAACAATTCATTTCTCGCTCCAATTTTTTAAATTACTTATTTTAGAACTAATTTTTTTTAGGAAGCTTAATTGTTGATTAAACATAAGAATAAGCTTAAAATTTTCCTTATCCAAAAAAAGATTAAATTTTTGTTATGTTTGGAATAGCGCGGTAGCATTTTGGCTTTGAAAGCCGGCAAAATCCTCACCCTCCGAAATGAGAACAACCATAAACCCTAGAGGACAGCCATGAAATGGACTCTATTGAGAAACCTTTCTCTCAGAGCTCGGAACCATCTTCTTTGTTCTCATTACTTACAAGCCCAATGCCTTTCCTCCATGCTTGGTTTCATCCCCAGCCAGGTCTCGATTCAGGCTCTTCTCGTCCGGCAACGATTCGCCGTCGAAGGAAGATTCTGTAAGTGCTCCCGAAGCGAATTTGGTGCCGGCTCAGAAGAAAGGCGTATGTTTGGACGTACAAGATGTGAGTAATAAAGGTGTTTTTATTGTCAAATCCGAACGTTCTACTTTCCTATTGATTTCTGCGATTGAACTTAGGACTATGAAATTGATAATCCATCTTTGTATGATGTGAAATTTTGTAGGTTTTGTTCGTAGTTAGGGAAATGCTGGAAATCTATCACTTTTTTGGCTGATTTGTCTTCACGATCTAATGCTTCGCATTGAGATTGGGTGAAATTTTGAATGTACGTTCTTTTTTTCTTACTGCAATTGATGTCTTGAGCGATGATCTCTGGATCTAACGTTGCTGCCGCGGTATTTGGATTTTTTTTCAATGCGACTATATCATGAATCATGGGAGCTCAAAATTGTAATATTTTCCATTTGATGACCCATAAAATTTGTGCCCAGAATTGAAAATGAAGATAGACAAGTACTTCAAAGGTGATGAGGAGGCACTACCATCAATTCTTGAAGCTATTCTTCAGAGGAAATTGGGTGGAAAGCATGAAGGTACGGATGATGAACTTGTTGAAGAACTACGAATGCAACCATTGGATGATGTGAAGGACAAAGAATTTGAATCTGATTTTGAAGAATTGTATGAGACAGATGAAGAGATTGACGATCTTTACAGTGCTAGAGATATAGTTATGAAAAAAATGGTAAAGGATGAATACTTCAACATGGATGACAAAAAATGGGATGAGCTTGTTGAGGATGCAATTAAGCATGGGATCCTGAAGGACACCAAGGAGTGTGAACAGATTTTGGAGGACATGCTTAGTTGGGACAAGCTCCTTCCAGGTTTGCCCCTTGTCTTTACATGCTTGCTTTGTCCCTTCTCGTGTTACAATTGGCTTATTTATTCTTTCTGGACTAATTTTTTTGCGAGTGGCGCATCTGCCCCGTTGCTCTGCTCATGAATTCGGTGGGTATGGTAAAAAAACTAATGAAACGAAACTGCTGATGGATACCCTTAACCTCGAATTCTAGAAACATTATGATATCGTTTGACGCCATGTATGATGTGCGTACTTAATATAAGTGATCCTTGGTTGGTATGTTGTCAAACAAATGTCTGTTTGTATGAATCCCACGTCAGTTGGGGAGGAGAATGAAGCATTCTTTACGAGGGTGTGGAAACCTCTCCCTAGTAGACGCGTTTTAAAATCTTGATGGGAAGCTCGGAAGGAAAAACCTAAAGCAGATAATATCTGCTAGCGGTGAACTTGGGTTGTTTGAACCTTGTGAGAAACAAATATGCTGCCTTAACGTTGAATCCAACTTGTGCACACTCAATCATTGTTATATTGTGTAATATCTTGAATAAATTCTCTTTGAATAATATTTTTTTCCCCTATTTCTTGGTAATGAACTGTTCACTGGATGATATGAAGAAACAAGTAGAAGCAAAATTCAACGAGCTAGGGGATTTGTGTGAAAAAGGGGAGCTTGAACCTGAAGAAGCTTACAATCAGTTTAAACAATTCGAAGATCAGATGGTGATGGAATATGGAAAGATGATGGAGGCAGAAGGTCCCCCCAAGTTTGATGGAACAGATGTGGCAGATAACAAAAAAGACTTGGATGAGCCGCCAGGTGAAGGGCCAATTCTTAGGTGGCAAACAAGGGTTGTGTTTGCACCAGGTGGGGATGCATGGCATCCCAAAAACCGAAAAGTGAAATTATCTGTTACTGTGAAGGGGCTTGGTTTATCAAACTACCAATTCCGTCGACTAAGGGAATTGGTTGGCAAGCGATATCATCCTGGGAAAGATGAGCTTACCTCATTCACTAGTGAGAGGTAATTTCAACTATTCTATGTTATAATGTTTAATTCGGTTGATACTTCTCTTAGAATTGCTATGGTCTCTGTAACAGCTCAAGCCTACCGTTAGTAGATATTGTTTTCTTTAGACTTTTCACCTCGGGCTTCCTTTCACGGTTTTTAAAGCACATATCCATTAGTGAGTTTCCACCCCCTTAGAAAAGGTGTTTCATTTTCCTCTTTAGTTGACGAGGGCTGTTACCTTCACTGACTTAACACATCTGAGTAGGCAATCACATGTCACTGACAAATCTATCAGGACAGATCACCACACCTTGTACTCGTTTATTCATTCCGTCGACTATAAAAAATTCATTATGGTTCCTCTCTCTTCATTTTCTGCATGTGAGGTCGAAAACCAGTTTTATCTCTCTCTCTCTCTCTCTCTCTCTCTCCCTCCCTGTCAAGAAAGGAATATTGACCATGAACCTCTCTCAGATCTTGCTGAACTGGCGCTGTCTTTGTTTAAATTTGTATTGGCTGTATTTTCAGGTTTGAACACAGAGAGGAAAATAGAAAGGATTGCCTTAGGACTCTTTTTTCTCTAATTGAGGAAGCTGGGAAAGCCAACAAACTTGTAGAGGATGCTCGAACTTCATATGTGAAGGAGAGGCTGCGTGTGAATCCCCAGTTTATTGAGAGGCTGCGTGCTAAGAAAATGGGCTTGCAACCATCATGCCCTTAATCTGCTTCATTGTTTGATTCGTGATGCTGTTGAAAAGAAGAATACACATTTGGCTCAACATTTTTGGTGAAGAAGTATTTTTTTCATTGGTTTTTACAAAAAAAAAGTTACAAAATTCTAGAACATGTCCATCAATTTTGATTTTGTCATCAATAGCGATGTTTTGACCCCTTGGAACTACCTTTACGACTATAGGAACTAGGAATTAATAATGTATCTTAATTATGTACTTTTCTATTGTGCTTTTTCATGAACATATATGGAAATTCTAAATGAATGAGAGGTTCCCAAGAGAGGAATACGAATCTCCAAAACTCCGATAGTTTCAAATTTTTTGGATGAGTCTAATGTGTTTATACTTTATTATATTTTATTGATTTAGAACTCATATTCAAAGTTGTCCATTGATCAATAATAGATATTCAAAAGCATTATACGTTTTGTCTACACTCTGATCTAAAAGAAGAGTAATAGCGTAAAGCATGACATTTTCAACCATTAAACCGTCATCAAGAACAGGATACAGCAATGAGAATACAGTTACATGGATTATTCATATTCTATCGAATGCATGAAAACTAATAAGTTTTAGCTTAACAATGATTTGGGGAAGGGGGAAAAGGCACATATTTTCTTGTCTTACCTGTTTAGCGTGTACTACCTACGAGTTCCTGGTCTGCTGCTGCTGTGAGCCATCTGAAGGAAGCTGTCTAGACGCATCTGATAGAGCTGCTGCCGCGGCTGCATGAGTCATAGTTTGGTACTGAGAAGACATTGGGGTAGCCGGGATATTCTGCGCTGGAGCGTTAGTGTAGTCAAAACCATAATTAGCAGCGCCGGAGGGTGCGGGAGCAATGGCTATAGACTGAGGTGGATAGTTCATTTGGGAAAGACCCATGTATGGTTGCTGGAACTGATTGTGAGAAACCTGTAATAAAGGAGGAGTCGTGGTTACTGCAGTCCTATACATGCTTGCAGCCATTTCTGGCATAGCTGCTGGAACTGTCTTCTGAGGATAGAAGGGCTGTTGATTATTACTATCATTGTAAGCAACTGGAGAAGCGACAATGGTAGGACTAGCTGATGCTTGCCGGTTGGGTGCAGCCATTGGAGTCTCAGCAGGACTAGATTGAACAGGCATATTGTAGGTTGGTTGATTTTGCGTAATGGGCATTAAATAGACTGGATATTGCTGATCAATAGGATGATGGAGTTGCTGTTGAGATGGTGTTTGCGTGTAAACAGGATGATAATACGATGGAACGGGGACATGCCCCGCGGCTGTAGGGTATTGGTGATGGATGTAATGGGTGGTGCTGTGGACGAATTGTTGTGGTTGTTGTGGCTGCTTCTGATCTAATTGTGAGGTTAATACATAGGCAGGGTCATGGAGCTGTTGAATTTGTACTTGTTGACTTGTCATGAAACCATCGCTTTCTGCGATCGGAATGGCTGGGACTGAGCTGTCTCTTACAATTTGGTCTTGGAAATACATGGGTTTGGACTGAGAATTTGCCGATGTTATGCTACTGTCGCTGTTACACCAAAAAGAATTTTGAATGAAGAACCATTTCATAACCGATTAGAATCCAACAAGCAAACACTCTAAAAGAACATGTGGAGAAGATCAACACTACCAAGATGCTGTAAGCTCATAAGCATAAATAATACATGTTTGGCCGGAGGAACAAGCAATTGGGAAAAAAATCAGTCAGAAGTATTTGAATTAGCCGACGAAACAGAGCATGTGAAATTTAGATGCAAAACCCAGATTCATGCTGAATGATTAATTTGCAGATGAGTAACATGATACCTGGCAACAGAATCCGGCGACGGTAGACTAAAACCACCGCTAACAGCAGGACTAACAACAGTCCTGTTTTGCAAGGTTTGCAATGGCAATGGAGGCTTCCGGAACGCCACCGGACCTCCCTGCTCCGCTCTCTCGTCGTCGTTAAAGACCCGATTGGCATTTTCGTGATTAGAAACAGCAGCCAATGAAACAGCTGCGGCAGCAGCCAACGCAGTAGGAATTGGAGGTACACCAAAATGCATCTGCCCAAATTGCTCTTCTAATCCCACCTTGGGATCTTGAACTCTGACCTCCGCCTCCTCCACACGCACACGTATCGGCGGCAAGTTGGACATCGACGGCACCGATGAAGACGAACCAAACGAAGAATCATTTTCCACCGCGGGAGAATCAGGAATCGATTGCACATCGTGTGCCGAATTACTATTCTTCTCGACCTGTTTGTCAATATGCCCTAGAGAATCATGACCTTGATTTTCCAAATCATTACACGAATCACTCCCACGAACCGCGTCGAGATTCACCATACACTCCATAGTAGCCGAATCGGAAAGCCCTCTCGGAATCATCCCGGCCGAACTATTTAGTGCATCGACGAACCACGTCTCGTGTTTGGCATCGTCGAGCAACGAACCCATAGAAGCCACAGTTTCAGGCTTCGTGAAGAAGATAAACAGACGGATTCGCAGAGGTTTCAACGGCGAAGCCATGGTGATTCGGTCGTATTCCTCAATCATGTTCTCGAGATCTTCATCCGTCGCTATGGAAATTAAGGAATCGAGATCTTCGTGAGGAAGCTGGTACTTGAGGGTGAATGGGCGGCCATTAAGGAGTGTTCGTGAGAGGCGCATGCAGAGGTCGGAAAGAGAGGAATGGCGGTCGACGACGACAATACGTGTATCACCCCCGACGTAGCAGAGTGACTTATCATGAGGACGAGGGATAATGTGGCCGCCATAGCTGCACATAAGGCGAAGTTTGGCGCCTGGCACTGGCGGGAGAGGGTCGTCCCAAGAGTCGGCGTTGTTGGAACGGGGTGAGGATTCTATGGAATCCTGATAGTTGTGCTGAATGGCGGTCGCTGCAAAGTTAGCAGCGGCGGTCGCCGCAGCCGTAGTTGCAGTGGCGGCAGGTGGTGGCGGTGGATCCATTACAGTGAATCAGTACTAATGAATTCAGACGCGAAAAATTGGGTTTTAATGAAAGATTGGAATGGAATACACAACTGGAGACTTCAATTGAAATATGGGTATTATTTAATCATTTTTATATACTTTTTATTTTTATTTTTTTAAATGTTCCTTTTTTTATTTTTTTAATATTATTATTATTATTTTTTTTTTATAATTTTATTATATGAAATGAGAATATTTCTTACATTTAAAGTTTAGGGTAAATTTGAGTAAACTTAAGGCAATAGCATGGCTTTTTATATACAAAAGAATTGGCTTAGAGGTGAAACTTGGTTAAGTGCACTTATTATTATATTTTATTACTTGAAATCAAAGAATTAAAGAAAATAAACTAATATTTATTCGTACATTTCATCTCCAACTAGCATTGAATAGCGTTCACTTCAAATTAAGTAGCTGACTTGAATCAATGTACATTATAATTTGTCCAAAGTTATCTAACCTAAGTACGTTTATACAGTTTACGACCTGACCCAAGTGAAATAAGAAATTCTAGACATTTGAAATAGACCCAAAAGGCTCAACAAATTCATATATGACGTCGTTGTCCAAATAAATTCATACACTGGATGACCTGACCCACGTGAAGTAAGAAACTCCAAACACTTAAAATAGCTCTAAAAGGCTTAACAAAATCATTTATGCTATAATTGAATCACACGTATTTGTCAACTCCCATGTTACAAGTGATCTCAATCTAATACCATGAACATGTAGTCAATATCATGACACTGCACACTACATTTTATATTAGTTTTCATTTGAAAGATGTTCGTTACTATACATATTTGACATGACTTTCAAGCCGTCGTAACGACATTTTCTTCATATTATTAATCTTTTAATTTTATAGAGATGAACTTGGATCAAAATCAAGGCGAGAAAATCAAAAAGTTGATGGAAATGAGGTCGATGATGAAATAAAACATAGTGAAATGTAAAAAAATGAAGAGAAATTGAGAAGTTTAATACATAGTCAAATGTGATGCATGCATTTACAATTCCATTGATTGTTTCAAGTAAATGGGAAGTTGAGTAAAGGAAGAGCTCATACACATCTTTAGGCTTCCTCTTTCGTGATTTTAACGTTGCTTTCCTTTTTCCTTTCCACCTTTCCTACTTGCCCTTTTCCTTTTCTATTCTTGATTATAATTTATTTTATATTTCTATACTTTCACTATTATAATATAATATTCTAGTTTTATATATATATATATATATATATATATATATTTTATTTATTTATTTTTTTTAATTGATGTACAACAGTTTTAAAAAATAATATATGAAATATAAATACGAGTTAATCAAGTTTAAAACGTTACTATCAAAGTTTCAATTTTATTGTCCGATAAATATTAAAAAAAAAAGTGTTAAAAAGTATTTTACATTTTTATTAAATTAAAATAACTATTTTTAATATTATATTCATATTAGCTATATTTTGTTACTATAAGTTTTTTTTTTTTTAATTTTTTTTGTGACAGGTTAGAAGCATGTGAAAATATTGGTTTATGGAAAAAAATAATAATAATTTATTTAGGGTTAATTTTAGAAATAAAAAGGTGTAAATGTAATATAATAAAAATGATGTGGGTACATATTAAAAAATATTTTAATTTTAAAGAATATTCTCATTGTCAATGCCAACATGTGTTCATATGATAAAGGGGCATTTTTGGTATTTTGTTCTTGCAGTCACATGATGGGTTGTAGGAAATCCCAATTAATACATAACTCCCATTTTGAATCTATGGAGTTTTCTAGAACCATTTATTTTTTTTATATACTTTTAATCAATTTTTTATTATTCTTTTATTAATAAATAGATTGATTGCTTCTTTTTTTTATTTCATCCATCTGTTGACAGTTAGGAACCGCATTTAATGAAAGTGGGATTTAAAAAGAAAATTATTTAATATTTTCTCATTTAATTAAGTCTAAACTGTTTTATTTAATAATTAAAGCTTAAACATCTTCTATACTTTCACGGTGTAATGATTGATCTCACGTATTTAATTTTAGCCTTTAATAAATCGGTTTATATATTTTAAATTTAATTAAATTAATAAAAAAATACTTCAACTTATACTCTATTTAAAAAATAAATCTAAATTTTAAAATAATACCTAAACTTAAAATAAAGTCTAAACAATAGTGTTACCGGCTAATAAAGTTTCATTAATACTCTTTAATTTTTTTTTTAATAAGTTCAAAATACTTTTACGACATGTATTATGTTAAAAGTTACCTATAAAACTTTAAGGATTAAATGCATTTACTTTTAGAAAAAAATTATATTTTTTTTATTGACAAAAATTATTTATCAATGCTGATATGTGGAAATTACTATAAGGGGAGTATGATTCGGATTACCTTGTTGTTCAAATATTTAAGGCAAGAACAATGTTTGAGATTCGAATCACTCCACAAGCAAGATCGATCATGTCTAGCTTGAATGATTCTTGTTGATCAAATATCTCAATGCAAGAACACTTGTTTGAGATTCGAATCACTCCACAACCAAGATTAATCATGTCGAGCTTGAATGATTCTACGTGCAACTTAAACTACATAGAATTGCAAATAAACTTAACGATTGGCTAAAGAGAGCACAAATGCTCATTTTACTATATTTTCCAAGTCGGTTTACAAATACAACATAGATGGTTTTATACCGCCTCAAAAATGAAACTATTAAAGACATTCCAAGAGTTGTAACATTCATACTTAATGATCATAATTAACCATTATGTGATTATAACCTAACGTAAATAAAAAGTCTTAAAATACATTAATGAAATACAATAACTCTAAATTACTCTATGTTGTAATCCACCCAAAATTTATACCATGAAACTTTATTCTTTTTCGATGTAGCATGAATTAAAATATCTTTTGATAATTTCAACAATATTTTCTTCACATTTTCATTGAAGTATATTGTATGATTAATGTTTTTTTGGTTCATATCAAACGCTTTATATACTATCTACAAACGTTTTAATGCTACTTTGGAAAGCTCATGAATATTTTTAAAATGTGATACTAATACAGATATTCCATTTCATTATATTTTATCAACGTATCCACGACTAGAAAACTAAGAAGAGGGAGATATATGAATGAAGCTTATTAAAGCGGTTCAAATTGAACACAAAAGTGTAGAAGATCACCATTGTTGAGGCATCACAAGCTTGTGGGCAAAGTAAAGCATGATTGCTTCATAAGTAGCTATGAAGGTCTTGAAGGGATGCCCTAATTTTGGGCTGCTGCCTTCCATTTTCTTCCATAGCTCCACACCTTGATTGCTTCTTCTTCTTCCTTTCCATCCTCCTCCTCCTCCCAATGTTATGGCTGAACTCTTGACATGATTCTGTTCTTCATCAACTTCTGAACTTTCTCTTCTTAGCCTCTCATATCTTCTCCTCCCCTTCCCCATATGCCTTTAACTCCCTCTGTTTTGGAGTCTGTGGTTTAATTTGTATTTAATGGCTAACCCTAGAAGGGGGAACTGCCAACTACCCAAAATTTAGTAATCAATTATATCGCGTAATTATCGTCCACGTATTAATTTCATTTTTGTGTAGTTCAAGGTTGAGAAATATATAATCTTTCTCTAAATCTTCGTTTAATATAACATGTTTTGTAGATAAGTTGGTAACGTATTATCAATGCGTTCGGAATCTTTAAAGATGAGCGTAGAAAGTAGGTGAAAACTTGAGGAAGTAGGATAAGAAGAAAGGGTTTTAGGCAGGAAATGCATGGCAGCTATAAGCCAGCTTCAAAGAGCTTTGACAAATTGGCTTTACAGCTTAGAATGGGGGCTTAGGGTGGCCTTTTGCTTCCCTTACTTGTAAAGGCAATTAATGCATTTTCATGCTCCCACTTGCACAATCCCAAATTTAACAAATATTTTGTGTGTTTTATTTTCGACTAAAGTCAAATAATTCTTAACCGATCGTTGTTAAGATTCAAGTCATAGGATCGGTCGTACTGCCATTTGCCGACTCTTGTGGAGTCAACTTCAAGGGTCATGACTAACCCTGGTAGGGATCAACCTTTAAGGGTCGACTATGTACAACCTTAAGCACTCCAATGAATTCAACCTCAAAAACCATGATTAACTCAAGGGTCAGACTTATCAATTCTCAGATGATCTCAGGTTTAGCCTTACGGACTCTCGTGGGAAAGATTAACATTCCTTTCACATTTTTCTCTATAAATGTTCTTGAATTTAATTATTAAAGGATTACTAAAAAAAAACTGAAATTTTTTTTATTACAAATCTTCAAAGTTTTTTTTACAAATTCAAAATTTACACAAAATGGCTACAATAATTTTCAGGTGAGTGAGGGTTTATTTATAGTTTTAGTCTTACCAACTTTATTTTAAAAGCATTTGGAAATTTCTAGAAATAAAGAAAAAACAAAAAATCTCAAAAAGTGTTATTTTGATGTAAGAGATGATAAAGTTAGATATATAACGTGTCAAATATCATCAAATGAAGTGACAAGATAACATATTCAAATATGTTAATAAAATAAAATGTCATGATCAATCAACTTTGTCATAACCATTTTTAAATTATGTTTTGATTGTTCTTAATATATATATATATATATATATATATATATATATATTATTTTAAAATTGAATCGTTATTGTTTTGGTGCATTCATGCAATCCAATTAAAAATGATATAAAATATTAAAAACCATGGTGTATATTTCTATTTTTATGTTGACATTTTCCCCTCTTTTTTCTTATTTATTGACATTTTTCTAAATTAATATTAAACAAAATATCTTTCTAGGTTTCGATGGTATGGGCTTTGGGCTTAATCAAATCTTTCTAGGTATCAGTAGGCCGTTCTATCAGGCCCAATTATCAACGTCACTTCTTTACAAATTATTTATAAGAGGTTAAATTTTTAATATATTTTTTACTCATTCAACTAATTTAAAATTTTAAAAATTTATTAAACACAACCATAAAAATAAAATAAAATAAATATGTGTATATAAAAGCAAAGGTATATTATAAACTTTCCAATAAATGTGAGTCTCAATTCCATTCCAACCGACTCATTTTTATTTATTTAAATCAAATTCAACTCAATCTAAATAAGTTTAAAAGGTGAAGTTAGAAATGAGATTCAAGTTGGTCGCTAAAAGATAATATCTTTGCAATTTGCAATATTGAAGTATGTTGGAGGTTATGGGTTATCTTTGCAATTTGCAATATTGAAGTATGTTGGAGGTTATGGGTCGTGGTCTTCTTCCTCTTTGCTTATGTGAAAATGACACAACCGCCCAATTTTAAAGCTCTTTACTTTATTCAAAAACTCGTGTGATTTATAGAACGACAACATCCAGGATAAGAAATATGTGTTGGGGGATGCCTTTGAATCTTAAGGCCTTGATATCACTCATCACAAACAATATTATAATCAAAACCCACAAAACTAAGAACAAAGAGGAGCCAAGGATTTTCTTCTTCCAAATATACCGACAACATTTGATGCTTTTGTTCTTAGATTTTGATTAAATTTGTAGAGTAAAAGTTTGTGATGAACTGATCTCTTAATTAGTGCTGGTGGTGGGATGATGGCGACTCATCGAACCGTCCATTAAAGTTTGACAGTGTGTGTTGTGGGTGATAGAATGTGGCTGGGTCCGACGTTTTAAAGTTGATATATATCTTGCTTTCATCAATATGGTGCTTTCTTGTTTGAAAGAATACATTCAAACACAACATGTCACATTGTAGCTCCCCCAATCCCCTTTTCTTTTCTACAATAATATCATCTATTCACCAACAATAATCGATTGTTTAATTGGTCAAGATATTGTAATCTCGAGCAAAACGGAACTTTTTGAGTATAGTTCAACGGGTCATAAAGTTAGAACACCGCTCGAGTAAAACTGAACATTTTGAGTATAGTTCAACGGATCATAACGTTAAAACACGGCTCGAAACTCCACCGATGTTGAAACAAAAAGGAAAGAGATCAAGGAACCTCTCTTTTTACCATTTTTCTTCTACTATGCATTTAAGGGTATTTTTGGGGGGTAAACCCTAGATTTCTTTGTGATTAAAAAGATTGGATTTTTTTTTGTGAAAACCCTAAATTAACGAATGGGTTTTGTTCTTCACTGCATTAATCCAAGTGGGTCTCACTCACTGCAACAAAAAAGGCAATAGAAAGAAGAAGAAAAAAATGAGAATCATAACAACTGCCTTTGAGCTGATTTTTATGATGATTTTGTGGCGTACACACACCGTACAATGAAGATCATTACTTTTGAGTTGAATTGTTCAAATCAAATTGAACCCTTTTTGCAGTCAATGTTCTTGTGTGAGTGGCTAAATTGGGTAATTTCTGTGCACAAAAAGCCAAGGTTGGTAAGATATAATAGCCTTATGAGAGTGATTTTACAATAAGGATAAGATCCGAGTACGTAAAAAAGGTTTGTTTCTGTTGGGGAAGATTTTGATCTCGTGAGGAACGGTTGGAATTTGATCTGTAAGTATCTACTTTATTTTTTTTTACCATTCTTTTTCCCAAATTCTTCTCAAAGTTTGCTATAAATAGAGACCATTTGTATGGAATCCTTTGAAAGGCTCTCATTCATCCTCTTCTTCTTCTTCTTCTCTCTCTCTTTTTAGTTTGGTTCATTTGTAAGTGAAGTTTGGGGCTAAATTAAAGGAGGAAGCATTTAGGTGATATGGTGTTGACAGAAGATAGAGAGCACAGATGATGATATGCAAATTTCTGTATCTCACTCCATTTGTGCTCTCTATGCTTCTGTCATCACCCTCTTCACCCTCCTTTAACATCCCATCTTCACTTTAGTGTTTTGTGTTTGATTCTATGTGAAAGGATTTTAAACCTCTCAAGCATTGTCTCTATGATTCTTTGTATATATTCATGAGCCATTAGTTGAGTTTGTAGCCCTAAATAGTGTGTTGATTTGTATTGCAGTCCAAATTGGGCAAGGGGATGAAGAGAATCGAGACATATAATGTAACGATCTGAAGCCACCGCTAGTAGATATTGTTTATTATGAGTTGTTATGTATCGCGTCAGCCTGCCTTTACTAAAGAGAGGTTTCCACCCACTTGTAAGGAATGCTTCGTTCCCCTCTCCGATCTCACATATAAGAATCGACCCGTTGGATAGATTTTCAAAAAAAGTAACCTTTTGGGTACGTTCGGCAAATTAAGAAAGTTCCATGAATACACTTGGTATGTATATGTAAAAAGAAGTCATTTTTTTCCCTTCCAAATGAGTTGAAATTGTTGTTTTTCCTCTTTTTTTGGCAATTGATGCAGGAAATGATGAAGAAGGAGAAGATGATATGCCAAATGATATTAAGAGAGTGAAGTGAGTATTCCTCAAAGGGGGAAATGAGGCATGCACTGCCCACTTGCTTGATTGATTTGTGGTGCCAAAATTGATTCATATAATGTTGTTATTCATATTATACAATTGATTTTGTAATAATAAGGCCTTTCATGTTAACATGGAGGGAGCTTTCTCTAAAATTATTAGGGTTTTGTTCATTACACAAAATAGTGAAACATTTGGAGCTTTAAACCACAAAGTTTCATGAGGATTCACAAGCTTTGGTTGGGTTCATAAGGGGTTAATGAGACACTGACAGCCATTGTCTTTTTGAACCAAATGAAAAGAAACACACAAAAGAGGAAAGATTCCACGTGCCCCTTTACCCTTGTGGTCTCCCCTTCCATCCACTCACACCCCTGCTACCTCTCGTAACAGCTCAAGCTCACAGCTCACACCGCTGCTACCTCTAGTAACAACCGAAGCTTACACTGTTATTAGATATTGTTTGCTTCGACCCATTTCACTGTAACAGTTCAAGCTCACTACTAGTGAATATTGTAACAGCTCGTAGATACTGCTCTAATAGTCCATAGATACTGTCCGCCTTGACAATTACGTATCGCTGTCTATTAGAGAGACTTCCACACCCGAATGTTTCGTCCCCTCTCAACACCTTTTTCTCGGCTCCTTTCTTTCTTAATATCAAAGTTGTCTTTTTTATTAATAGCCCACCAATTGGAGGGATATTCTTATTTGATTGCGTATATACATATGGATACCTTTGTTGCTACAGATCTCTTCAATTATCTTAACTACTAAGGCGATGTGTTAGTTTCATTTGTTTCTTTTCAATCATTGAATATCTTGACTCTGTTCATAGTGAGAGGAATAGTGTAACGTATAAAACCAAAATCGGATCGAAAGTATTAACATTTCCATGTGATAAGGAAGCACTACAAATGTGTTTGATTCAGCAGAAAACAAAAGGTTCCACTGTTTGGGTCCGCACAGGGGCTTCTCAATGCGGCTCAGCCAAAGCGAGAATTCAACGCAGCATTTTGAATTCCAATAAAAGGGAAGGGAGAGGCATCCAAATTGACGTCCACACCATCGCATCATTGCACTGTTACTCACCCAGATATGTCCTTGTAATGGCATACAAACACATTCTGTTGTGTTATTTTCAGCTTACCTGCCCTTTCTCTCTCCCTGTCTTTATCTTTGTGCTTCGTCAATGGAATGCAAATGTGAAGGTTCTGTACAAATTAAGCCTGGCCGTTAGTGAATGTCTGCTACCAAATACCAGCCACGGTCTTGCCTGTAATGGAAACACCATAGAAATATGTCAAACAGCATTCATTTTATAGAGATATTGAGAGTAAGATTAAACAAGACTTACAACTGCAATTTGCACGTCAACGAAGCATTCCTATTGCACATCAACGAAGCATTCCTTACCAGAGTGTGGAAACATTTCTCTGGCAGACCTGTTTTAAAACCGTGAGACTGACGACGATGTAACGGATCAAAATGGATAATATTTGCTAGCGGTGGGCTTGGGCTGTTACAAATGGTATCAGAGCCAATCACCAAGCGATGTATCAGCAAGGGCGTTGACCCCTGAGGGAGGTGGATTGTGAGATTTCACATTGGTTGGAGATGAGAACAAAACATTGAGTGTGGAAACCTTCTCTTAACGCATTTTAAAATCGTGAGACTGACAGTGAAACGTAACAGTTAAAGCGTACAATATATGACATCTCATTTTGGAGGATGAAAACAACCATTCAATTTTTGACAGTTCCAAACTTGTAGACCATTTTTTTATAGCTAAACAACTTGGTTGGAGATTTGAACTTCAAACCTTTAGGCCAATGAGCCTTATGTTAGGAATCACGGATGTCTACCCTAGCATGATATTGTCTACTTTGAGCATAAGCTCTCCTGGTTGTTTTGGGGTTCTCCAAAAGGCTTCATATGGAGATATTCATTTACTTATAAATCCACGATCATTCATTAAATTAGTCCGTGGGACTCACTCCCAACAATCCTCAACACCTAAACTAGTTAAAGCCATAGTAAAGTTAGATTGTCTTCCACAATCAAGAAGTCGTCGCGAGCAATTATCCGTAAACAATATGTACTAGACTATGTTGGATTAGATATAAGCATATGGAATATGAAAAATCTACGCTTATAAAACTTGCGAGAACAAGGATATTACGAGATTTCTACATTACTTACAACGCTTGATGAGGCGATTCCAGACCGTCAACTTCCCGGTCGTCCTTACAGTGAAGATGTGGCGTAAAACTGGTAGTTGTGTCCAAGATATAGAGAATACATAACGTTATACATCAACATGAAAACATAGGAATTGGCCGAAAAAAATCCAGAGAAAGATAGGGAATGAGAAGCAGAATGCTCTCAATCCAACAGACCAGAAGATGCTCTGCCTCGATTCAAGTTTTTCAAGACATGATGTATAGACTTTTTGTGATCTCTCTTTTCTCCATGTAGGAACTGTACAGACTGCACATTGCATAGAAACCAACAAGGAAGCACAGGAAGATTGAAAAGTACTTGATTGAAGTACAGAGGGCAGACTTGTTTCCATATACTAAATTTAGTTTTGCATTACTCGAGTCTGCTGAGCTGCTCACAGAAACACCTATTATGCGGTTGTTGCTAAAAGTGGAGAATCCACCCCTTCACGGACCCAGCATCCTCGCTGTCACCCAGCTCAGTGTCTGGCTCTAATACCACTTGTAACAACCCAAGCCCACCGCCAACCGATATTGTATGCTTTGGCCCTTTACGTTTCGCTGTCAGCCTCACAGTTTTAAAACGCGTCGTAGAGGTTTCCACACCCTTGAAAAAATGTTTAGTTCCTCCCTCCTACCGACGTGGGATCTCACAATCTACCCCCTTCGAAGACCAGAGTTCTCGCTGGCACTCATTGATGTGGGATCTCACACTTGTCTCGATGTCTTATTATTACAGGTCGAACTTGTCTAGAGCTTCCCAACAATTAATTTAAGTTCAAATAAAGCAATCAATAATGGAGGTTCAAGTTCAAGTTCATGAATATCAATAATGGACCTAGCTAAGCATACTACAGAAATGAAAATAACAGCATAATTTTGGAAAAGTCCGCTGATGATTTATTGTAGCTCCGCGACATGAAAGGACAATTACGTTGATGTTGGAAAAAGCTATCTATGGTGGGATAAAAGACTAGACAGAACTGCAGTTGTTTTGAAGTTCTAAGCTGACTCAACTCAACAGCTAACGAGATATTGACTCAAATAATGCAGAACACGGTCGTACTGCTACGACAAAGACATCCACTCGTCATTTGAAACTCAGAAACTTACAGTCATTCATGCAAAGCCCCCATTCACGGCGGGACTCGGCGTTGAGGCCAAAGACCAAGCAATAAACAGAGACCGAGAGGCACCGCCGCACCAGCACGGAGTCAATGGCAGCCTCCTCCACTGATGCCCAACGCTCAAACTTTCTATTTCCCCAATTGGGGTTTCAACTAATCATGATGAATTTCACCCTCATAACTTATTCCACTCATCTCGTAATGAAAGGATTAAAGACATCCTCTTCGACAGCTCCACAATTCGTGGAGATATTTTCAACTGCTTCTGGATTAAAATTTAAACTTTATCGCCCCCAATAGTTACCAAATATGAAATTTATATATTTTTATAGTTCATCCCATCCTCCAAAATATTAATAAAAGACGCATTCTTTAATAAATTGGTATAATTAGAGATGTCTACCGAGCAGGGCCGTGATAGTCTCGTCCCAAATTCCTATTTCAATTTCAATCTCGTGAAACTCTTCATTCATTTTTGTTAGTTAATTTTTATTAAAAAATGTAAAATATTACACTTTATATTCAATTTTGATATATAGAAATATATATATATATAAATATAAATGACGTGGACATCCCTGGTTAATGGGCCTTAGATTAGTCTTTCAATAATATGGGCCTTAGATTAGTCTTTCAACAATATGGGCCTTAGATTCGTCTTTCAACAATATGGGCCTTAAACTAGTAATGAGACTGCGTTTATGGGCTTTTCTCATTTCCGCCCCGATATTCTGATGGATAAGTCGTCGATATCTCGCAATTTCGAGCTGCGACGACATTTCGTCGTCGGGGAAAAAACGAAATTCCCCTAGCCCTACCGACATGTCGAAACGAAATAAAAATTTACCATTCATCAAAACACATTTATTGGAAAATCTAAAAGGAAAAAAGGAAGAGGAGGGAAAATAAATCTGTGTTTTTTGTTGGACTCTGTAAAGGAAATCCTGGCCCTCTTCTTCTCGGGAAGTCAATTTCGCGGTAACAATGGCTATCTCAATGGTGTTTCTTCCGGTGGCGATCCCCTGAGACTGTTTCGTTAGGGTTTTTTTTTTTTTTTTTTTTTTTTTTCAGTAGAGTAACTGCTTTCGTCTTCTGAAGTTTCTTTGGAGTAAACTACAATGGCCGATAGCGCTAAATCAGTTCTTGAAGAGGAAACTTCGAAGCTTGAAACCAAGTCCAAGCGCGGCGTAGATGTCGAGGATGCTGATGTCACTGTGAAGAAGTTTAAAACGGAAGCTACTGCCGATGTAGCCGACAAAACTGGAGACTGTGCCGGCAGGAAGTTGGAAGCTGTTAATGGTGATGAAGAAAATAAGGTCATCAGGATGGGAGTCAAGTTTGAGATTGAAGCGGATGCAGCAGAAGATAAAGGGTCCAGGCATACAATGGAGGATGCTTGGGTTTTGCTTTTGGATGCGAGCTTGGATTTTCCTGGGAAATTGAGGTTTTTAGTTGTTTGAGTATGACAGTTCTCTTTCATTTGTGCCCTTGTTGAGTTTATAGTATATGCTTCATGGCCCTTAGCTTGAATTGATATTAGGACGACGTTGCTAAACTGGTATTAGGACGTCGTTGCTCCTTTTAAACAGTTGATAGAACTGATTGAATCATCAAATGTTTGTTGCTAGCTAAGGCAACGTCAAAATGCTAATTCATGAACTTCAGCGGTTTATTCTGACAAATTGTGAAGCAAAAAATTTCAATTAGCTTTTTATTTTTTGTGGTCAGATGTGCACATTTTGCTATCTATGATGGACATGGAGGTCGGTTAGCTGCCGAGTACGCTCAAAAGCATTTGCATATGAATGTTCTCTCAGCCGGGTTACCACGTGAGTTGGTGTGTTTTGCCTAGTCTGCTTTTGTGCATTTAGATTATTACATCATCTAGAAACGGGGACCTCATAGACTGAACCTGTTTTAAACTTTTATATTTGTTTATGCCCAGTGGAGGAACAGTAGCTAACTTCATCCATTTAGATTCTAGAATAGATGTTAAAGAATATGATAAACATATTGATTAATCTATAGCAGCTAGCGTGTTTACCATATAACCTGAATTTAGCTGAAAAATAATTGTACTCCTATAAAAAAGTAACTCAATAGGCACTCTGACTCATATAATCGGATTCTTGGTCATGGCCTTTTTTCAATCACTAATTTTCATTTTTTGGGCAAGCTTTCATGATATTTGGTCGCCTGTCCATGGTATCCTATAATTATGTATCACATTATTGATTTCCCTGACAGTTTCTTCACCTCCATCCGAGATATTTGTATCATCGTTTCATATTATACAAGTGGTGCCCTGCACCTGACCAATTGCTTGTTTTCTGACTTACTGCCTATATGTTTCACTTGTTCATGTTGGTCCAGTTGGATGTAAAAGCAACTAAAAAGGCAATACTTGATGGTAGGGATCTCTTTTTTCGTTTTCGTCTACTGAATATGGTTTGTCTCATTTGCCACTTGATGTATTTAATTGTATTTGCAGGGTTCCGGAAAACTGATGAGTCTCTTCTTCAAGAAAGTTCTGCTGGTACTTCTACGTTTAATTTATGGCAGTTGGTTACTTTCAGAATTTAACATATTTGTAGAATAAAATTGACAGTCTATAAACTTTTATGATTATGTTTATACCATAAAAGAAATCTTAGCTGTTCTATATGTATCCATGGAATTGTAGGGAAGGGTTAAATCTAATTGTTCACTAGCAATAATCATATACAGGTAATGGGGTTCTTTGGTAAAGGGAATTATATGATTCACCATAATATAGTATATAATCATGAATATGTTTAAACTATTTACTTTAACTTTTTTTTATGATGAAAAGCAAGACTCATTAAATAGAAAGATGGGATAAGCCATCTCTGAGAAGGCCAAATGAGTGCTAGCAAAACACCAATTCACTTGAATAAGAAAAAATGTGTAGTTGTAAGAGGCCCACCTTGAAGCCAAAGAGGTACCATTAACGATCTCATGAAAATTGTGTTTATTATATTTTAAAAAAAACCCTTGATCATTTGATCACTAAAAACATCTATCTGCAAGTCTAGCTCATTGTCTTCAACTCGCGCTCCCGCACGTGTCTGTTGACTGGTCTACAAGACTTTTGGTTGACATAAAAACCATGGCCTAAAGGCAAAGGCGCAGCAGACAATCAATTTTATTTTAAGCAATTGTTTTGAAAATTCAGAAAGATGCAGTTACATAAGAATGAGATAAATTATAGTCATATGCAAATTTGTGGTCTTTAAGCTGTTTCTTTATGCTGCTTACGTGTTTTAAACAGAAGATTCAAGAGATTACACCCCAACCCCACCCTCTACAAAATAAATAACTCCAGCTCCCTCTTTCTCATTAAAATAACTCACGGAGAGCAAATCCAAGTGCTTGAAGATTTATTAGGCCGTGAATAAGGAACTTAATTTACGTCTTGGTGTTTGACAAATTGTTTCAGGGGGATGGCAGGATGGTGCTACTGCTGTTTGCGTTTGGGTATTAGGTCAAACGGTAAGTTAACTATTTTACCATTGACTTGCTAGAAACCAAGTATTTTAAAATAAAATCCACGTCTTTGATTCAGATAGTTATTTTCGAGTTGAAAAGCGTTGATGGTATGTGTTGAGTTGCTTTGAACTGAAGCTCGTTGGTTAGATTTGTCATAACTCTTTTCCTTCTGCGAAGGTTGCAACTTGGAGACTGTGAGATGTAATCCATGTTCTCCTTCTTGTTTGCCCCCCTTTTTATTTAGGTTTCTGGTTGTGGATATTTCTCACAAATATATCAATGGGAATAGTAAGATTTTCCAAGTAAATACCTTACGTAATTCAAAGGATGAAAGATGCTTTTTATTCGTTGCATGCCTAGGATAAACTACTTGAAAACCTCAATCATCTCATTTTTCAATCAATTCCTAATTTCACATACATGCAATTATTTTTCCGTTCTCACGGAGGGGTTTGGTTAAAATAAACAGATAAAAGAAGGATAAACTTGACTTTTTTTAAGGACGGATTTGAAGAATTCCATATATATTAGGAACCCATCTATATACTGCCTACATGGTTTACCAAACGTTGGACTAATAGACACAAGTAATTTATTTTTGAAGGACCCATTTCTTTGAAATTACCATATATATGATGTCATCCTTTTTCTTTTTAATGCACATGCAGCTTGCTTAAGCTATTCTTCTTTCTGTTTTTTATTGTTTTCCTCCATTTTCAAGATAGCATTTTTTTCTGACCAAGGAATTTTACAGGTTTTTGTTGCTAATGTTGGTGATGCTAAAGCAGTTGTAGCACGATCTTCGACTACTGATAAATTGTCTAATAATCTTAATGGAGGAAGCTCTTTAAAGGCTATTGTTTTGACAAGGGAACACAAGGCAATCTACCCACAAGAAAGAGCTCGTATTCAAAAGGTAAGAATTATTATGTTATTATTATTATTATTATTATTGATAAGAAACAGACATTCAGAAGGTAAGAACTATGAAGTTGGATTGTATGTGTTATTGAAGAAAAGAAAAGAAGGAACTAGCTAGTAGGGTAATTGGAAGACATACAACAAGCAAAGGATTTATGCTTCAATAGCTTGCTTTATGACCTTTTACGTGGTCATCAATAGATATCATGTGAGATTCTCAACAGGTTTATTCTAATAGATAGTTGGAGCGTTGTATCTGATATCTTGTCATTTAAGTTTAATGGTTGATTATCAGAAAAAGAAGAGGTTTGAGATGTCTTTCAGCTTTTTATTTTACACGTGTTAGAGAGCATAGCCAATTTAGTGTTTCATTGGCAATGAAGAAGAGAGGAAATGATTGGAGTAGCACCAAGAACTGCCACTTGGCTGATATGAAGTAGCACCAAAAGAATCCCAGGCTCTCACATTCAAAAAGATGATAATGAGGGAGCAAATCAATTTTCTTGATTGAACTTTAAAGGGGAAAAGGAAACTACGCTTGAGTAAAGACAATTCCTTTGTGATGCTTACTTACCTGCACTTATGATGTATATAATATACGATATCAGAAATGCCAACTGCCAAGTGCTAACCTTAACCAAATTGATGAATAGAGTGTGAATTATTGGATCTGATGGACCTATGTTTTAGGTTCTCAATTGGACATTTTTAAGCTTTCAAGGTCAAAGGATCTCGTCTGGATGTCAGGGATGGGATGCTCCAGTGAAAGTTTGTAACAAAATGGAATAATATTAACTTGGCAGAAATCTTATGTGAATTTCAAATATTATCATGAAACAAACAGCCTTAATTAGAAGTATGAATGTTCGATGTCTTACAATTCTAGATATGCATGTAGACTGGGCAGTGCATCGCAGAATTGTTGCCTGTATGTACTATAATACATCAAATTCCACTAGTCCTTGCAATCCTGATTACAGTTAAAAAGGAAAATGAATTATACCAGGCTGGTGGCATTGTTGGTTCAAATGGTCGATTGCAGGGCCGTCTTGAAGTTTCTCGGGCACTCGGAGATCGCCAATTTAAAAAGGTTATACTTCATTGACTCATACATCTCGTTTGTTATCCATTAATGTCTGCTTTTATTTGTTTATAGTTTAAAATGTCATGGCAAAGATTAAGATGAATGAGAAACGTTGCATCTTGATTTTTTTTTTTAACACACTGAAATCTTTTAACAAACAATCCTTTTCTGCGATAGTCCCCAATCTTAGGTTATCCATTTTCCCGTATGATATGAAGAAAACTATAACTAAATGTTCTTTTCTAAGCTGCCTCAATGCATATCATGAAGTAAACTATAACTAGACTTTCTATCCTTAGCACTAGTTTTTGAGCTGAAGTCTGAGCAGCAACACATATTACTTGCAGTTGGGCGTTATAGCAACTCCAGACATTCATTCTTTTGAATTGACTGATAGGGAGCATTTTATCATTCTCGGATGTGATGGACTTTGGGGGGTTAGTTTGACTTTCAGCACTATTTATACTTTTGTTCTATCATTCCTATTATTGTCTCTCATTTCTCTATCGACTTTCCCCTTTCCATTTTGACTTCTTTCAACACTGTTTCAGGTTTTTGGACCAAGCGATGCTGTCGATTTTGTCCAGAAATTATTGCAGGTAAGGGTACAGGTTTCATTTTTTTTTTTCCCAATAATTTAACTGAGGGATTGCTTCATTGTCACGTGGAAGTGCTCCATTCAATTGTCTGTCCTTGCTTTGGGGCACCACTTTTCACATTAATCTCATCTCTAAGCAAAGCTTCCGTTGTTCTAGTTAGCAATTTTTGGTTGGCAATGTTAAAGTTAAACTATTTCTGTAACTATGTCATTCTTCTTTTTCTTATATTCGTTTATGCCTTTAATCAACACCAGGTCAAGTTGTTTTTGGTCATTTCATTTTATTTTGCTTTTCAAAGTATCATAGCTTTAAAGAGGAAAAATTGACTCTAGATTGAGACTCTCAATTGGTATTTTATTTGAAAACATATTGTTTTTCTCCCATCTCTGAAAAGCTTAAATTTGAGATCGGTTGCTCTGTAAAGTGTTTCTTCGTGTGGAATATCCTAGTCTTTGATTATTTTTTTTTAACTTCTTTGAAAAGAAAGTAGAAACCTTTTCCTAAATGTTAATTAAAGATCAAAGTCACAATAAAGGGAAGGTAGAGGGATCTTCTCTATTAGCCAAAAGAATTGCAAAAGTAGGAAACCTCTCTAGTTGACTTGGATGGATATCACAATAGAATGTTCATCAAAATTCATAGAGAATAAACTACCGAAGGTCCAAAGATAAACCCATCAAAGGTCTGTCGAGTAGTTGAAATTGTATCCTTAATAGTTCTTTTGTTCATTCAAACAAAATAGCCTACAAAAACGGTCTCCGTCTTGTCAAAAAAAAAAAAAAAAAAAAAAGAAGAAGAAGAAGAAAGAAACCCTGCCATAGATGCTTTGTACAAAGAATTTCTGCATCGTTGGAGGGGACACCAATGAAAATTAGCAGCCGGAAGAAAATTGTTCCATATGGTCGTCGCAAAGGGACAAGTAACAAAAATATGATCGTCCCATTCCTCCCCTTTGGACAAAGAATACAATAAGGGGGCGAGAGATGCAGATTTGGATGATCCTTCTTCTTTCCTTTTTCTTTTTCTAACAAGAAACAAGATTTTTAATTTAAGAAATGAAAAGAGACTAATTCTCAAAAGATACGGCTACACAATGGTCGAAAGAAAATAAAACATAAATTACATAAAACATAAATTACAAAGGAAAATAAAGACATCCACATTCAACATATATTTTGTAAAGAACAACCATTAAAAATCTGAGAAAAAGAATGCCATGAAGAAGCTAGCGGACTTGAAATGATCAATCCAATATAAATGCTTATTTTCAAAGATCCTTCAGCTCCAACGGTGATTCTGAAATAAAGCTTTAACACATTCACCCATAATAAATTTGATTTTGGAGCCGAAGAAAACCCAATAAGAAGTTGTAGGACAATTTCTCGTGTTGTTGGAGAATACCCACTGAACTTGGAAATAATTACTTAAATTATGGTAACAAGCCAAGGAATAATAACAGCCAAAGAAAACATTATTGAGAGCCTCCTCATCTGCACAACAACGAGCACAACTTGCCATGGTCCGTTGATTACTATGGTAAATTGATTTGGATTCTTCTTTTATACTCTTTTTATATGACCTATATGTTAATCTTGTAATGTTGCAAGTGGAGAGTCTAAAATTTGAATCTAACTCTTTTCACGATCTTCCAACCCTAATTTAGCTTAGCAATTCCTTTTGGATGCACCCAAGATTTGCCAAGGATATGATTGAATAAAGAGGAGGACAAGCCCATTCCTTAACTTCCAAATCATCAAGGTTCCTTCCTTGTAAACCTCAAGTTCCAACCAAACATGTAGACCATTCCAAACATTTTCCAAACCCTCCATGTTGAAGTTTGAAAGTTTAAAATCTCTAGGAAAACGATATTTGAAGGATTGCCCTCAATCCAAACATCTTTCAAAAGCTTAATTTTCCTTCTATAACTGAGTTTGAAAACAAAAAAGAGGCCTCCACGGCTCACTGAGGATTAAGGAGCTATCAGTTTCCTAGGCCTTCTAGCACTACATCCTTTGGACTTCTTAAAGCAGCCAAAGAAATCAACTTCATGTCAAATGCTTCTCATTTGCAAAATCTCCGATTCTCCACTAGGAATTAGGGCCACGTTTTTCTGTGCCAAGTTACCAATCTCAATTCTCCGAATACTTTAGGGAAGTACATTATACTCCGATTGACATGACTACCTTTTATTTGGATTCAAACTACCCTACAGAAGAATTTCTGAAAATTTTCTCCAAACCAGAACAATCTTCTTGGTAGGTATAATCGAGAATGTAGCTTCAATAATAGTAAACAATCCCTCCTTGGAGCAAGGCTAGAACTCCTCCACTTATAATTCAGCTTTCCCTTTATCAACTGAAGTGTTCCAAAAATCTAGGGAACGAGAATGATCTCCATGGGAAGACTGACATAATTCATAGACCAAAACGTTCTTTGCTTTCAATTTTTACTCAGGTCACCTGTTAATTAAATTTTCCGGGAGAATCATGTTTTACGAAGTCAATGTTATATCTATTCCTCTTGCCTTTGCATGAGAGGCCAACTTCGTTTTGTATTATTAAACACTCATCTTGATTAAGGATTACGAAAGATATCTTTGTTGAACAGGAGGGCTTGCCCATAACATCAGTAAGTCGACATCTTGTGAGGGAAGCTATTCGTGAACGGCGCTGTAAAGATAACTGTACTGCAATGGTCATTGTTTTCAGGCCCAAGTGATTAAGCAAGAATAGTCGCGAACGATGTGAGATTTCCATGTTACTGGTGCTGTACAAGCGAACTCCCAAGACGTTAAGTTTTTTTGTACGAGTGGACCGCTTTACTTGGGATTGTGGAATTCGCCAGAGTTAGAGATGTCGAGTTTGAAAACTGATGTGGAAACAGTGGGGTACCCAGTGTTAAGTTTTGTTTGCAGTTACTTCAGTTTCAAGATTTTGTAAGATACTGATGTCACTACCTTCCATCGATTTTGTGGAAGTAAAGATTTTCTTAGTTGTTTGCATGTTTGTGGAATACGTGTAAACACAACTGTAGTGCTGATTTCATGCTTAGATATGTATTCTTGTTTATGACCTAACAATCAGGAGTGATGATTTCATGATTGGAACTCGATGATATTCATAACTAGAATCACTTAAAAGTAGGGACTTGTTGATTGCCCATTTGGATTTGCCCTTTTGGATTGACATTGTGGACATATTTTCCCAGCTCTCTTTTTGCCGTGGCTGCCAGGTGGTGCCCAAAGTTCTGGAGTTTGTGATATTCTGTTAGCTGTGCACTAATAAAGGCTTCCTTTGGGGAGTCGGTCTTCCCGACCAACTGTCTAAGATTTATTACCCTACAAGTTATCTCGACAGCTAAATGTAGTAGTTAGTGAGTTTGCAGTTGTCCGAGAATGTGCTGATTTACATGTCATTTTGTCAAAATATAGTTTTCTTTCGGCCGAAATGGCTATGATTGGAATTGTAAAAGTTGATGGAGATTCTCTATTGTATTGTATTATATATATATATTCAATTAGATGGACAATTGAGAGCCACTCATATTAATTAAAGAGATTCTTGTTATAGACATTAAAACGTCTACCAGCATATGCATGCATCATAATCAAAGATGTTTTTTTTTTTTTTTTTTTTTTTTTTTTTTTGTATTTTCCAATTATTTTTATGAAAAACAATAAGAATGCATTGGATTTTCTTCAAATTTGGATGGATGAAAAAAAAAAATATATTGTGATTCTAGTTCTTTTTTCACTAGCTTTAGAAATTAGTTGAACATCAGACTACGGTTAAAATCGAGTTAAGCAATGATTAGGCGATAAAGGTTAACATCAACGAGAGTACCGTTCAAATAATTATAAATTTTTATCTTTTATTACTAGTTGTATACTCAAATTTCTTTTTCCTCGTTTGAAGTATAATAGATTTTAAGTAGATTGGGGGTAATACAGTAGAAGAAATACTTGACAAGCAGAAATTTCCTAGATGAAAATTTCTTCACCAAGAAAGAAAGAGATAATTTTTTGATATCGTTGGATTTCACGTCATTCTTGAATGATGCTAACATGGCTAATAATGAACGAGAGAGTAGTACCTGTACCAAAAATTATCCAACCATAAACAAAGAAAAAAATAGTCCAATCAATAATAAGAAGCACATGCCATCCTTGGTTCTTCCCCTCATTTGATTCCATTAACAATAAACCAATTGATCAATCATCTTCATATTCAACTGGTATCATACACCAACATCATAATCAATATATGGTTATCCTAGTTGCATAATTCAACTGTTATGATCCCAATTATTGATATTACATCATGTTTCCTTCCATAAAATAAAATAATATCCCTGTCTACAACAACAATTAGATTGATAAGCACCCATAATTGCCTCATTATCATAATACAATCACATTAACAGACAAGGGTCAATATTAAACATAAAATAGATGGTGGGATCTTGGTGCCAACCCAAATGAAACTGAGATCATCTTCTCTTTCATTACCTGGCTAACATGCTTAATCCCAATACTGTCTCCCCAACAAAATCCATCTCAAAAGTCAACATTCAGACCTTTATTTTTTTCTGGGGATGTTTCAAGCACAGTTACAAGCTCAAATTCATGCAAAAGATCATTTTTTTTATGCCTATGGATATTGCCAATAATGAGCAGATTCATGATTGTGATAGGCCCATTTGCCTCCTAGCCTTCAATGATCATACAGTATATATAAAGACACTGCTTTTGTTTAGTTCATTGTGATGTTAAGGCAATAGAGAGTGAAAAAAGAAGAAAAAAACAGACAAAAATGGCAAAGGGAAAACTTGTGTCTGAGAAGATTAAGCTCATTCTTGCCTTGATTGCTCTGCAATTCTGCTATGCAGGATTTCACATTGTGTCAAGAGTTGCTTTGAACATTGGTGTTAGTAAAGTCGTGTATCCGGTGTATCGAAACGCGATCGCTTTAGCTCTGTTGAGTCCTTTTGCCTATTTCCTTGAGAAGTAAGTTTGAAGATTTGTTGTGTAAAGCCTTTTTTTGATGATTTTGATTGTTCATTCTTTCATCTCAGCTGAATGTGGCTTTGTTGGTTTTGTTTGTCAGGAATGAAAGGCCTCCTCTTACTTTTTCTTTGCTGTTTCAGTTCTTTCTTCTAGCTTTACTTGGGTAAGACATCAAGAAGTTCTTTCAAATCTTTTAGTTTCTATTGCCCTTTTGATGTTATGAAGTGTATGAAACTTGTTGGTTTCAGAATCACTGCCAATCAAGGATTTTACCTCTTGGGGCTAAACAATGCATCTCCAACTTTTGCTTCTGCAATGCAAAACTCTGTTCCTGCTATTACCTTTGTGATGGCTTCTGTTCTAAGGTATACTTACACTACTTTCTCCCCTCTAATGGCACGGAGTGTTTTTGTGAGATTCTACATCGGTTGGAGAACGAAACACCCTTTATAAGGGTGTAGAAACCTCTCCCTGGCAGACACGTTTTAAAAACCTTGAGGGTAAGTTCGAAAAGGAAGGCCCAAAGAGGACAACATCTGTTAACGGTGGGCTAAGGCTGCTATAAATGGTATCAGAGCCAAACATCGGGCGATGTGCCAGCACGGAAGCTGGGCCCCAAAGAGGGGTGAATTTGGTGGGGGTCCCACGTCAATTAGAGAATGGAACGAGTGCTAGCGAGGACGTTAGGCCTTGAAGGGGGGTGAATTGTGAGATCGCACATCGGTTGGGGAGGAGAACGAAACACTCTTTATAAGGGTGTGAAAATCTCTCCCTAGCAGACACGTTTTAACAACCTTGAGGATAAGTCTGGAAGGAAAAGCCCAAATAGGATAATATTCGCTAGCGGTGGACTTAGGCTATTACAGTTTCGTTTCTTCGACGAATTAGCAGTTTTCATTGCGAACGTCTTCTCTGTTTCAGGCTTGAGCAAATCAACTTCAGAAGGAGAGATGGGTTAGCAAAGCTTTTGGGAACTATTGGGAGTGTTGGAGGAGCAACTGTGATCACTCTCTATAGAGGCCCTCCACTTTTTCACAACTTACTAACTCAAGGAAGTAGCATCTTGGGGATGGATGAACCTACACTTAAAGTGCAGAACTGGAGATGGGGCTGCATATACCTGCTAGGCCACTGCCTATCTTGGGCTGGTTGGATGGTTTTTCAGGTCATACTCTTTTTTCAGTGCCGAAAGGCATCATATATAAATATAGCTACTAATTCTGGGGTTAAACGTTCCACTGGTTAAGACGTATATCTTTGATTGTACAGTTAGAGTTTGACTCCTCACCTCTATCGTACTAAAAAAAGACCTTTTAGATAGAGTTCAAAAATAAAGTCAAAGCTTCGTATCATATAGAGTCGGAAAACATCATATATTTGTAACCTCATTGGTTCAAGACGTTTTAGTTAGAGTTTTGAGACCCCACATCGGTTGGAGAGGGGAATGAAGTATTCTTTTATAAGGATGAGAAAACCTCTCCCTAGCAAACACGTTTTAAAACTCTGAGGGGAAGTCTGAAAGGGAAAGTCCAAAGAAGACAATATCTGTTAGCGGTGGGTTTGGGCTGTTACAAATGGTATCAGAGCCAGACGCCGGGAGGAGGCTGAATCCCGAAAGGGAGTGAACACTAGGCAGTGTGCCAGCGAAGAAGCTGTGCCCCGAAGGAGGGTGGATTGTGAGATCCCACATCAGTTGGAGAGAGGAATGAAACATTCGTTATAAGGGTGTGAAAACCTCTCCCTAGCATACGCGTTTTAAAACTTTGAGAGAAAACCCGAAAGGGAAAGCTCAAAGAAGACAATATCTACTAGTGGTGGGCTTAAACGGTTACGAGAGTTCTTAAAGGTAAAACAATGTCGGTCTAGATTCAAAATTGATAATATCATATCAGAGATCCAACTATGTGTTGGTTGATTGTATGAGTATTACGGTTTTCAACTTCATAACATGAACACTTTTTTGCAGGCTTCTGTGTTGAAAAAATATCCAGCAAAGCTAACAATAACTTCATACACATGCTTCTTTGGACTGATCCAATTCCTAGTCATTGCTGGCTTTGTGGAAACAGACTATCAGTACTGGAAAATCCAATCTGCAGAAGAACTCTTCACAATCTTATACGCTGTAAGCTCTTTTTGTACGATAAAACATTTGAATTCTTAGTCAAATTCTAAAAACACGAACAAATTTTTTATAACTCCAGCTGATCTAAGTCTGTTCCTTTGCACTTTGTAGGGTGTTGTAGCCTCTGGCATTGTCATATCTCTCCAAACATGGTGCATTCAAAACAGTGATCCTGTCTTTGTTGCTGTCTTCCAGCCTCTCCAAACTTTCCTAGTAGCCATCATGGCGTTTCTCATCCTCGGCGATCGGTTATTCTCCGGCGGGTAAGATCGACTACTCGAAACAAGAAGAAAGAGGTCTGCATAGACACTATTAGACACTAATTCACTTCTTCTGATGATTCAAATGCAGGGTTATTGGAGCTGTTCTTATAACATTTGGTCTCTACTTAGTTTTGTGGGGAAAAAGTAAAGAAAAGGCATTGGAAGAAGAAGAAGACAAGTGTTTGAAACAGCCACTTTTGGAAGACCAAAAAGGGGACAAAGAAGACAACGTTGTTTCAGACATACCATGAAAATGAAGTGCAAAAATGTATACATAAGTTTTAGCAGAAAGAGTTGTGAAGAAGCAGTGGCTGATCCTACGAGATGAAGGATATGTGTCTTGTTAGAGATAAAAAGGCCACAATTTTCAGCTTGTAATACAAACTGTTCCTCTTTCTGCTTTTCTTTTTCTTTTTCTTCTTAAATTTTAGTTTGTTTGTTTGTTACTATTTCTTTCTTAAGCTTTCCCAACCATTAACGTACCCTGTGATACTAAAAGACAAATAGAAGATAAAATGTAACGTGTTAATGTGTTCCCTATCTTCTCGACCAAGGACGAAGCACGTGCTACAATAGCCGGGACAAAGGGTCGTGATCCCACAAGGGTGAGCTAACTCTAAAAACCCGTCCTCCGTTTGGATGGTAGGTTGCAACTTGCCTATATGAAACCGAAATCGCTAATAATCGCTGATCAACCATACAACAATGAACTCGTTCCCAGACCTTGTACACACCGTTAGTCACAGTGTGGGAGCTGACCATGCCCTAAATCGTTACCTTAACCGCAAGGAAGGGGATGTCGAAGGGCAGGGCTAATGACTGAAGTGAAGTTGTAACACGATAGCTGTACTGAAACGTATTAATCGATACTTTTAAAAATTTCAATAATACCCTTACATTTGTAAAAAAAATCTAAAAAAATATCATTGTCATGAGCTCTTAACACAAATTTAAAATTGAGTATATTTTAAAAAAATAATAATAATAAATAAGTTTCATCCAAAATAAATAAGGAAGGAACAAAATTCAAAAGTATAGAAATAAAATAAAAGTTTTTGAAGTGGCAACCTTGGTAATTACTATGAAATGTGAGGGCTTAAACTCAAGACGTGATGCCCAAGTAACCCAGTCACATCCACACCCAAAATTTTAACATATTTTTTTCCTTTTCTTCGACTAATGAGACACATAATAAGGTTAAATTGATCAATATTTTAATATATATATATATATAATATATATAATAGCAGACTCTGCATTATTTCATAATTTAATTGAATTACTTTCCAAGTCAATTTTTAATACTTTGTTTTTTTCTTCAACAAAATTTAATATATCATTTTCAATAAAATAAATTATAATCAAATAAATATTCTTCAAATCGAGAACTTCTCTGCAACTCAAGAAATTCTCGCGTTTTGACGGTAACAGTTAAATATACAACCATTCATCGTTCAACGTTTGAGGAAGCCATCTCGAAATTTTCCACCTCTTCCTCGTTTCGTCGTATGTTTATATCCAGAGTCCTCTGTTCTTCTCTGCAACTCAAGAAATCATGGAGAAAGATTCAAACTCCTCATTGAAATCAGCCCTTCTTCACATTTCTGAAGATGGGTTGGATTCAAATGGCGAGAGAAGGAAGCTCATAGCAGAGGAAGTAAAGAAGCAGCTATGGCTTGCAGGGCCGCTGATATTGGTCAGTCTTTTACAATACTGTTTGCAGATGCTATCCGTCATGTTTGTGGGTCATCTGGGCGAGCTGCCCCTCTCCGGTGCTTCAATGGCCACTGCTTTTGCTTCTGTGACTGGTTTCAGCTTGTTGGTGAGTTGGGTTTCTGTTTGTTTCTCGAGAAAATCTCACTTTCTTGCTGGATATTCAAAACTAGTTATGTTACTTAAAATGGTCTGGATTTGAATGTGTCTTAGGTGGGTATGGCTAGTGCTTTGGATACATTTTGTGGGCAATCTTATGGAGCAAAGCAGTATCATATGCTGGGCATTCATATGCAAAGAGCAATGGTTGTTCTTTTACTTGTGAGTATACCTCTTGCAGTCATCTGGGCTAACACAGGAGAAATCCTGAAATTGCTTGGTCAAGATCCTGAAATTTCAGCAGAAGCTGGGAAATATGCTATTAGTATGATACCAAGCCTTTTTGCTTATGGTCTTCTTCAATGCCTTAATAGATTCTTACAGACCCAAAACGTTGTTTTCCCAATGGTTATGAGTTCTGGAATAGCTGCTTTGCTTCATATCCCCATATGTTGGGTTTTGATATTCGAAGTTGGACTTGAAATTCGAGGAGCTGCTGTGGCTAACTCCATCTCCTATTGGCTCAATGTGTTGATATTAACACTTTATGTTAAGTTTTCTTCTTCTTGTTCCAGTTCTTGGACTGGGTTTTCAGTGCAGGCTTTTCACAATATCCCATATTTCCTTAAACTTGCAATTCCTTCGGCTTGTATGGTTTGGTAAGTCTCCCTTTACTATGACTCTTTTTATCATAATCATTAAGATTCATGTGTCTTACAAAAAAATGTTGAACAGCTTGGAAATGTGGTCATTTGAGATGATGGTTCTTCTTTCTGGGCTTCTACCAAATCCAAAATTAGAGACATCAGTGCTTTCAATCATGTAAATGACAGACATCAGTTCTTGTTTCTTAGTATATAGCCATCTCTTGCTTCACTGACACACTACTTTACCAGTCTTAATACAGCTGCAACAGTTTGGATGATCCCATTTGGTTTGAGTGGTGCAGGAAGGTAAAATTGATTATCACTTTCGCTTGTTATTCCGTTCCGTGAGATCCCACGTCGGTTGGAGAGGAAAACGAAGTATCCCTTGTAAAAATGTGGAAACCTCTCCCTAGCAGACGCATTTTTAAAACTGTGAGGCTGACGGCAATACATAACGAGCCAAAGCGGACAATATCTGCTAGTGCTCAAGCTCACCACTAGCAGATATTGTCCGCTTTAACCCGTTATATATTGCCGTTAGCCTCACAGTTTTAAAACATATCTGATAGGGAGAGGTTTCTTCCTTCCCCTCTCCAACCGTACTTGGCATAGGTGTTGAAAATAGAAAGAGTACAAATGGATGTGGGATTTATATGTTTTAATTTGATTTTGTAAGCACACGAGTCTCAAATGAACTAGGAGCTGGTCATCCTGCAGCAGCGAAGCTTGCTGGGAAAGTAGTTATGACAATAGCCATTATTGAGGGGCTACTGCTTGGAATTGTCTTAATTCTTATACGTACTGTTTGGGGCTATGCTTATAGCAACGAACGAGAAGTGGTCGAATATGTAGCCAACATGCTTCCTTTAGTTGCAGCTTCCAATTTTGTTGATGGACTTCAATGCGTCCTTTCAGGTTTACATTTCTATCGTCTGCTGTTCTAGCAAATCCACGGCTAACAAATATTGTTCTCTTTGGACTTTGCTAACAAATATTGTTCTCTTTGGACTTTTCCTCAAGATTTTTTAAATGTGTTTGCTAGGAAAAGGTTTCCACACCCTTATAAAGAATGTTTGGTTCCTCTCTCCAACCGATATGGGATCTCACAATCCACAACCTTATAAATAATGATTCTTTATAGTTGGTATCAGAGCCAGACACCGGGCAATGTGCCAGCGAGGACGCTGGGCACCGAAGGAGGGTGAATTGTGAGATCCCATATTGATTGAGAGAGGAACGAGTGCCAGCAAGGACGCTAGACTATGAAGGAGAGTGGATTGTGAGATCCCACATCGGTTAGAGAGGGAACGATGTATTCTTTATAAGGGTGTGAAAACCTTTCTCTAGCAGACGCGTTTTAAAAACTTTAAGGGGAAGTTTGAAAGAAAAAACCCAAAAAAGACAACATCTACTAGCAGTGAACTTGAACGGTTACAATTATTACTTGACTTCATGTGTGCACTACGATTTTTCTACCTCAAACTGATGTTATTTTAAATGGTGATGGTTGGATGTGCATAAATACAATGCAGGCATTGCTAGAGGATGTGGTTGGCAGAAGATTGGTGCATATGTGAATCTTGGATCATATTATATTGTGGGAATTCCATCTGCAGTTTTGCTTGCTTTTGTTTTGCACATTGGTGGAAGGGTAAAACTGATAATCATGATGATGATCTTCACTCATATGTCCTGTAATTATTATTCACCTTAAATGTTTAACCTTTTGATCCTTAACAGGGGCTGTGGTTAGGCATCATTTGTGCACTCATTGTCCAAGCACTTTCTCTTGCTATCATTACCATCCGCACCAACTGGGACCAAGAAGTACACTTCCTTACTCAAATCTCAACTTTGCTCCCTTATCATATCTTAATGTATTCATCTCTTCTATTCAGGCAAAGATAGCTACAGAACGTGTGTATGACACTGTAATCCCAGTGAACGTTGTCTCGTGAAACTCGAGTTTCTTGGTCGAAAAGTTTTGTGATTTGATCTGTTGGATCGTGGAAGTCGAGCCTAAAAGCTTCATTTTTGCAACACAAACTCCTGGCAAATAAGTAGCTGAGTTCACTTGAACTTCATCTCTCAGTTTCCATGTGTTTAGCTCAGGAGATATCATGTGCAATTATATTTGAATTCAGTATTTCAGTTTCTTTATAATCAATATGTTCAAAGAACTCTTTGAGCATCATTTTTGTTGGGTTATAACTATAGGCTTTCAACTCCTCAAGTCTGCTACCAAAGACTATTTGCAGAATTTCCACCATGTTTCTCGAAAATCTGCGTGTTTGGTGGTGCTTTACTGTGAAATTCCATGTCGGTTGGAGTAGGGAATGAAGCATTTCTTATAAGAGTGTGAAAACCTTTCCTAACATATGCATTTTAAAATCGTGAGGTTGACGACTTTAAGAGTCTGAACAATCTTCCGATAGCAAAATTTGTGTTGGTTTGTAGGGCCAGTTTTCACTCTTATAAGCTATTTGAGACAAGTAAAGCGGTGTGGTGCGGTCCTTGACTATGGGAATGTTGGGGCTATGTCCCGAGACGAATTTCGAGTTCTAGTGTGGATCTTAAACGGGAGTGGTAGTCTATTAAATATAAATTTGAAAATTTTTAACCTATTTTATATAATTTAAAAGTTGAATCACGTGATTTGATCAAAATGTTAACAATAAGAGACCAAACATAAAAAAACAAAAATATATTTTAAAATGATCTTCAAATAATTGGTTGCAATGAATTATTAGATTCTTTTTTAATATGTCTACATGCATGTGGTGCTGATTTTATTGGGAAGGGTGTCCTCACAAACCTTCTTGGATGAACTAGTCCTATTCGACCGATGTGAGATTTCACCATCCACATCTTGGGAGGGTCAGCGTTCTCGCAATCTACCCTCTTGGGTAGGCCAACGCCTCACAATCCACCCTTTTGACTGGGCCAGTGCCTCACTAGCACACTACTCGATATCTGGCTCTGATACAATTTGTGATAGTCCAAACTCACTGTTAGTAGATATTGTCCGTTTTTGCCTAATATGAAAATGTGTCCAATAAGGAGAAGTTCTCACACTGTTATAAAGAGATGTTTCATTTCCATGATGTGAGACAAACATATTAAGTACTCATGAGAGGATTTTATATTTAAAAATTGTACTTATCTAATAATAATTTGGAAAAAGCTAAAAAGGTTTAATTTTGAGGTACATATACGACATACATACATACATACATATATATATATACATACATATATATATACATACATACATATATATATATATATATTATTATATGTGAAAAATACAAAAGAAAAATATACAAAAAAGAAGAAAAAAAAAAAAAGCTTCATCCAAAAGTTACGCATTTCATGGTTTATATGGAAGCTTCATCTTGACTTCCTCTCCTCTCTCCATCTCTGTGAGCAGAGCAATAATGGAGAGAGATCAGAAGTCGTGGTTGAACTCGCCTCTAATTCACATATCTGAAGATGAAGTGAATCCGAAAGACGGGAGACTAGTAGATGATAACAATTTCTCAAGAAAACTAATAGCCGAGGAAGTAAAGAAGCAGCTATGGCTAGCAGGACCTCTAATATCGGTCAGTTTTCTGCAATACTGTTTGCAGATGATTTCCATCATGTTTGTGGGTCATCTCGGCGAATTGCCTCTCTCCGGTGCTTCCATGGCCGTTTCTTTTACATCGGTGACTGGTTTCACCGTCTTGGTGAGTTGATTTTCTGTTTGTTTCTCGGGAAAATTACATCTTCTTAGTAACCTGTCTGATTTTAGAACACATTAGACAATAATTTGTTATTAGTTAGCATCCTAGGACGAACGAAGAGACTGTGATTTTGTTGGTTTTGGAATCTGCAATTTCTGTTCCCAATTGATTGAAGTACTTCAAATGGTCTTGATTGAAATACATGTCTAGATGGGGATGGCTAGTGCTCTGGATACGTTTTGTGGCCAATCTTATGGAGCAAAGCAGTACCACATGTTGGGCATCTATATGCAAAGAGCAATGTTTGTTCTTTCACTTGTGAGCATACCTCTTGCAGTCATCTGGGCTAACACAGGAGAAATCCTGAAATTACTTGGCCAAGATGCTCAAATTTCAGCAGAAGCTGGGAAATATGCTAAATGCTTGATTCCATGCCTTTTTGCACATGGTCTTGTTCAGTGCCTGAACAGATTTTTACAGACCCAAAACATTGTTTTCCCAATGATGATGAGTTCTGGAATAGCAGCTTTGCTTCACATTGCCCTCTGTTGGGTTATGATATTCAAAGCTGGGCTTGAAACTCGAGGAGCTGCTTTGGCAAACTCCATTTCTTATTGGATCAATGCATTGATATTGATGCTTTATGTTAAGTTTTCTTCTTCATGTTCAGAGTCTTGGACTGGCTTTTCAGCGCAGGCATTTCACAACTTCTCATATTTCCTTAAACTTGCAATCCCTTCAACTGTCATGGTTTGGTAATGCTCACTTTTACTGTTTCTCCTTTTATCATAATCACAAAGATGCAGTTCTCTCAAAATGTTCAAAAAGATTTTCGACAGCTTGGAACTGTGGTCATTCGAGATGGTGGTTCTTCTGTCTGGACTTTTACCAAATCCAAAATTAGAGACATCAGTGCTTTCTATTAGGTATAAACAGAGACATCAGTTCTTCAGGAGCAATGTTATTTTCTTTTGTTATATCCAACCACCTCTAGCTTGACCAACGCATTTCTTTACCAGCCTCAATACAGATTTAACCGTTTGGATGATACCAATGGGTCTGAGTGCTGCTGCTAGGTAAATTTTGCCGCTGTTTCTCATAAGAATCTCTGTCCTCTCTACTGATAACTTAAAAATTATCACTTTCATGTGTTTTTCTCCATCTTGCCTGAATTGGGAAATTGAGAACCTTGTATGTTTTTTTTATAAGAATGGATAGAGTTCAAATTTAACTAAGATTACTGTCTCTACTTCATTTTGTAAGCACGCGAGTTTCAAATGAACTGGGAGCTGGCCGTCCTGCAGGTGCAAAGCTAGCAGCGTGTCTAGTTATGACAATAGCCGTTTTTGAGGGGCTACTGCTTGGGACTGTCTTGATTCTTATACGAAATGTTTGGGGTTATGCATATAGCAATGAACAAGAAGTGGTCAAATATGTTGCGGATATAGTTCCCATAATTGCAGTGTCCACTTTTTTCGATGGACTTCAGTGTGTTCTTTCAGGTAATTCATAATCCTTCAAAGATTAGACTCTTTTACTGTAGTTAGCTCTTGTTTCTTTGGAAACCGTGACTGTTTGAAACAACTTGTACGCATTTACACTAATCTCACATCTTACATATATATATACACTAATCTTACTTGATAACGCGTAGAATCTCATGAGATACTTAAATCTTCGATGGTCCTAGTCAGAATTCATTAATGTTTGCAAATGATCATCATAGTTTGTGGTGCATCTTTTTTTACTAGTAGACAACCTATTTATAACAAGTCCACTACTAGTAAATATTGTTGGCTCTGGTTCGTTACGTATCACTGTTAGCCTCACAGTTTTAAAACATGTCTACTAGAAAGAGGTTTTCACACTCTTATGAGGAATGCCTTGTTCTCCGAGAGTGTGAATCTCACACTATTCTAGTTATGATTAGCCCTGCCAAGTTGTCTAGCTGACATTTTCCAGTTGAGTACTAAACGTGAAATGAAAATGAATGAGGAATTTTATGCAGTCCAAGAACAGCAAAGTCTTTATAGAATATTGGATTTTTTAAGGTAAACTTTGACAAAGAGTTGGCAATAAAATAACTTGACACTTTTGTATGTACGATATTTTCCTGTCCCTTGTGATCTAACCAGACATTTCACCTGCATAAAGTATTGGCATTTGAAGAATCTGTGTGTATGTGCTTTAAATAAAATGCAGGCATTGTTAGAGGATGTGGTTGGCAGAAAATTGGGGCATATGTCAATCTTGGATCGTATTATCTTGTGGGTATTCCATCTGCAGTTTTGCTTGCTTTTGTCTTGCACATTGGTGGAAAGGTAAAAGTGTTAATCTTAATGATCTCCACTCTTCATGCCCACCATTTTACATCATGTCCTATAGTTATTAGTAATCCATCTTTTAACCCTTTTTCTCTTGAAAATGATGCTCAATAGGGGCTGTGGTTAGGCATCATCTCTGCACTTGCTGTCCAAACACTCTCTCTTGCTATCATTACCATCCGCACCAACTGGGACGAAGAAGTACAACTCTAAACTCAAATCTTAAATATCAACTTTCCTGGTTTCCCTTGAAATTTGACATTCCTAATGCGTTCTTTCGTCATATTCAGGCAAAGATAGCTGCAGAACGAGTGTACGAGTCAGTCATTCCAACGAATGTCATCGCATGAAACTAAAGCTCTTTTGGGTGGAGAAGCTTTGTCATTAATCTCTTTGCCTTTGGAAATCAACAACTTGTGCAATATGACTCATTGTTAAAAGCTTTTGAGGATTTTTGGAAAATCGTATGTATTCCTTAACTGTTCTGAACCTGATTCAATTAGATTTTGGATCAATTAAATTACGATTTAGATTGACCCACTATAACTTCATCATTCTCTGTATTCAAAGAGAAACCAATTTAGAGAGCACCTCTCTAATTCCAAATTCTACATCTTTAGGAGGGGAAATAAAAGCACTTTTAGAGAACGAGGTAGAGGTTTTCAAGTTGAAATGTTTCACTCAGAAAGGGAGAGAATGATGAGGTTTCAATTCATACCAGTACAGGAGATAAACCTTTACCCATGTTTCTAAACAGCCAAAGGAGCAACTACTAATAACCAAACAGATCAAATCTAGAATAATAGAGGAAATCTTAATCTAAAAATACTACTTTTGAAATTTGTCACCATTGTGGTTATTTCTCAAGTTAAGGCACGTCCCCAGGCTGGGACACTTTGGTGCTATGCCTGAATTGTAATAATCATAATGGGAAGGAGAAAAAAAACAAATGGGAATCTCACAGAATCATGGAGCCTGCTTGACAATAACAGGGTAAGCAACCTCTCTGCCTACTGTTTCTTTCAAATTCCGAAGGTGCCTAGAAGAACTATGTATTAGTTGAGACCTAGCCAAAAATGAAAATCTCTTGGCTCCCAACGTCACTTGATATGTTGTTGTACTTCATTGGTTTAGCAGGAGAGC